GATAGCGTCACACATGTAAGTGGTTTTTCGCTGTCACATGAACCTCTGTTTCTCTCCTTGTAGGCTGCATTGTTCCGTGCGTTCTTATTAAGCCCTAGCTTATAATGCAATGACGTTTACTGCCAACGAAAAAAATATTTATCAGGAGATGTAAAGATAAGTTTTCATATGCTACTCAATACGTAATATGTTTTTGTATAATATATATGTAATATGTATATAAGTGATAGATTCTATTTCTCACATAACCCGTATTTCTGAAGAAAAAAATAAGTCCAAACTCTCAAATAAATTTCCCAAAAAACGGACATCTTTTGACTCAGACGGTACGTCGTTGTCTACCGAGACGTTCATATGACGTCATTACGATGTGACTAGTTTCTGACGTCACAGTAGTGTTATTTATATCAATTAATTCAATTACAATTAAACGTATTATTTATCGTGGTGTATATGATAAGATAAATACAAACTATTGTTTTTAAATCATATATAAAATATAACTATTATAAAATTACTTGATAGTGTGTTCGGCAATAGAAGACTTATTACATGGGATTCATAAAAAAAGGTTGACATGAAACTTGTCAGCATAGTAGCGATTGGTTTAAGAAGAGAGATAACTCCAGTAGACAAACTCATCTCGCAAACAATTGGGTAATTAGGGAGGTAACTCCAATAGCCATGTTATACACTGTTTTTGGGGTGTTTCTGAATTGAAAGGGGGTATATTTTGACATCTGTAAGAGGCCAGTGTTTAGATTGACAACAACCGAGTTTTTCACTAACCTGCTGATTGCTGCTGTCATTAGCAAATAACCATATACTGCATGTATCGTTTTAAATGATTTGTCTCGCTGTAGCTTTGAAAGCCTCGAGTAATGTGTAATGGGTGTTGTGTCCCTTACTCCGATCGTAATCCGGTAACCCGGCGTATGTCTATCTTTGAAGACAATATCAGGAACTACACTTATGTAGGTAAAATTATTGGCACTACCATACATTATAAACGTCCTAACATTCATGTTCAGTTTCTTAATCGGTGGCCACCTAAAAAGTTGGGATGTGAATATCTTTCCTTGCTTTCTGGATTGTTTTTTCATAATCTGGTCCCGATGACATTCCATACTATAGTGAGTTTCGGTTGTAGAATTCGAAGACATTTAAAAAAAAAATCAGATTGAATACATTATTTGGATTTGGAAAAGTTCAAAATTGATAAACGTTGATACCCATTTGATTGTCTCGGATTTCGTACCTACCAATAAATGCCCTAATTCATCATTCTGAGACCGTATTCACGGAGACAACCGGGAAATAACATAAGTTAACAAACGCATAATCCAAAATCTTAATTGACGAAACCTGCTTAAATACAATAAACAAGTCATAACACGAAAACCTAAGAAAAGAAATCTGAATCAGTGACGACACCCGCCATGCAAATTATGGTCGATCCAAGTATACCTGTAGAAGTTGAGAGTACATGTAGCCTTATTAGCCCCACCTAGTGGAAATTTCCTTTTAGTCAAGCAGTGAAGTATCCGGCTAGAGACCGAATGGTTGCTTGTTCGAATCCCAGCAGTGGGAGGATGTTTTTCATTACTTCTTCATCTTCCTATCTTACTAATAGGCATCGAAAACATGTAGATAGATATCAGCCATTGTAACATAATATTTCCCAGTGATATCATGATGGAAACCTGGTCAGCTGTTAGCTGATGACATCGATTTAAAATGATATTACTGGGAAAACGCCCTCGGATATTGAATCGACTACAATATGTGAACCTCACAGATCGGGGAAACAGGGGAGTTATGTCTAGCATTGAAGTCACCACATTTATCACACTGTGTGTGGAAATCCGGTCAGTTTGGTTCCCTTATAGGAAAAGGTCGCGATAAGTTACTGATGTAGAAGATTATGTTGTGTCATTGATTTCGAATTTCAATAGGTATATATGTCTCTGGTATATATGATGTTCATGGTCAATAAATTTCTTGTTATTTAAAGAAAATACGCCATCAATATATCTAAAATCGAAAATGAAGGCCATGTCAAGCTCCCTTGTTGGGGTGCTGTTTTGAAGCCTTTCCTAAAAGGTCTCGACAAGGTCACTTAAAATCTATCTTGACAAGGTCACTTGAAATGTAGCTTGATAAGGTCACTTAGATGTATCTCAATAAGGTCACTTAAAGTGTAGGCCTATCTCAACAAAGTAACTTAGAGTTTATCTCGACAATTACTGTTAAGGCTATATCTACATGTTATCGTACAACAGTATAAAGAATGACGTTATATACATTCATTGAACATGATCCAAATACTTGGTGAAAACACTTTAAAGGTAGGAAATAAAAATATCTCTTGTGTTCATTGTTTTCCAAACACAATACCAGTGGGATGCGACAATTTAAAGAAGGTATTTGTAATTTAGCAGCTGAAAGTTATTCTAATTACCTGCCAAACCAGACACACAAAACAATGGAAAAAGACGGTATTGCAGTCATCACCGAAAGGTGCATCAGATGCATCTGGTTTCGCTTCTTCGTCTTCTGAATATAACTAACCATTTTATCGGTACGGAGGTATTTACTGTACGTCAAACATTGAATCTCTGATTTTACATTGAACATGTATTTTAGCGTATGATTGTTTATTATTGGACATTAAAGTGTATACACTAGTTGATGAACGTGTTATTACAATATATTTGGAGTATTAGAATGTATGTTTGGAGTTTTACACTGTATAAGTGGGATAGTGTATGTAGGTGATATTGTATCTTATATGGGGTTTTATATTGAACACTACGGTATTGCCATGCTGGTACCTGTATGAAGTAGTTTAGTATATTTATTGAACATAACAGTGTATTATAGAGTTTCTGAATTAAAGGTATCACTATAAAGTATTTATAGGGTGTGTAATGTAAATAACAATGTTTAATAAGGATATGTATGTTGGAGTGGTATTAGGGTGACACTGGTGTAATAAGTTAAGTTAAGTAAAGTTAAGTTAAGTTAAGTTTATTTCCGGTTCAGGACTAAGACAAGTCCTCTACACCAGACTCATATATGTAAATACATAATATACAGGTATAGAAAATACACATGTACATAAATATAGCTATAGTTAAAGTTTGATTGTTGCCCTATAGTTATAATAAAGTTCTTGATTCTTCCAGTGGTTGTCCAGTTTGTTTTTAAAAGAGTTTATATTGGGTACCGATACTACTTCTTCAGGTAGACTATTCCATATTGATACTGTTCGTATTGAAAAAAAGTTTTTCCGTAACATGTTGTTGCTCCGTTTGGGGAATATTTTTTTTGAATTTCCTCGACTGCTGTGGCGATCTGCCACATCTCTCCATAGTGGTACAGACGTGCAACAATCTTTATCATAAACATTCAATATTTTATATAATTCAATCATATCACTTCTGATTCTTCTAAAGGCCAAAGTTGGTAATTTTAACTTTTTTAATCTGTCAATATAGCTTAAATTTTGCATCCCCTAGAGACTTTTGGTAGCTCGTCTTTGTACAGCCTCGATCTTGTCTATATGTTGCTGTAAATGTGGCGACCACACAGCACTAGCATAATCCAAATGGGAACGAACAAGACTTTTGTATAGTGGAATAAATAATTTAAAATCCATAAACTGGAATGTTCTTCGTATTAATCCAAACATAGAGTTTGCTTTCTTAACTTTCTCAGATATGTGTTCATCAAAGGCTAATTCGGAATCTATTACTACTCCAATATCTCTTTCTTTTTCTGTTGGTTCTAGAAATTTTCCTTTTAGATGGTATTTTGTTTCTGTGATCCCTTGCCCTTGACACGAGTTTTTGCCGATTCTCATTTGTTTGCATTTCTCCGGATGCATTCTTAGAAGCCAGGTGTCGCTCCACACACACATTGTATTTAGATCATCTTGTAATATTGTACTGTCCTCGGCTGTTTCCATAATTCTACATATTTTAGTATCGTCGGCAAACAAGTACATATCAGACTGAACAGTATCCGGTAAATCATTAACAAATATAACGAACATCAGTGGTCCTAAGACGGATCCTTGGGGAATCCCAGATGTAACCTTGGTCCATTCAGAATCCTCACCGTTCACTGTTACTTTCTGTTTTCTTCCTTTCAGAAAAGTACATATTCAATCGACGATCTGTGTTGAGAAATTACAAGCGCGAAATTTGTTGATGAGTCTGTTGTGTGGAACCGTGTCGAAGGCTTTTTGATAGTCCATGTATATGCAGTCTACCACTTTACCGTTATCAAGAGCTTCTGTCCACTTATCCAACACCTCCAAAACTTGTAGACCCGTGGATCTCCCTGATATGAAACCAAATTGTTTTTGTGAGAAGTAATTGTTTTTTCTCTTGGGAAGGTCATTCATTCTGCATATGCACTATCATATAAGTAAGGAATTTTGGGTACTACACACACAAAGCAAACAACAATATACCTCCTGTATACCAGTCACGATACACTCCTTAGGATCAAATAACAACTAAATAGTACACATAACTGTAAATATTTATTACTGAACTAATTATTTGTAGGCGTCATTCCCATGAAACGCCACGAGGTATTCACTGTTATACAATGTACAGTTCACTGTTAGAAATATGACTAGTAAACTAACTACTGTTATACACTCTACTTGGCTCCCTACGACACAAACTTAATAACTGTTATACATACGACCAGTGAACTATTTACTGTTATACATACGGCAAGTGAACTGTTATTGTTACACTTACGACCAGTGAACTGTTCGCTGTAATACTTACGACCAGTGAACTATTCACGGTGAAATATTTAATAGCAACTGCAGAACCAGAAGTTGGTCAGCCAATCAAAACCACAAAAACAGAAGTTGGTCAGCCAATTAAAACCACAGAACCAGAAGTTGGTCAGCCAATTAAAACCACAGCACCAGAACGTCAACGTCTGAGTAGCCAGCTTCACACAATATCCGCCACTTTTTGGTGTTGACGCATCACCCGACTGTTGAGAAACTTGTTTTGATCAAATTGATCAATTATTAAAGTAACCAGGTAGTTAGTCTTGATGATTATGCAATGATTTTGTGAGGTTGTTGTACATTATCGATGTGTCATTTATAAAGAGACCAACGCCGAAAGTAGGCCATGTTTACATCCCCTACGTTTCATCAGACCGCAGAGACCTGACATAAATTTCAATTGATACATTTGTACGCTTAGCATGTATGGTGATTCCTCTTTATGCTGTCATATTTATCATCTTTGTCACACCCGCTAAACTTTTATCTATACCTGTAATGCACCCTGGGCCTTATGTTTTATACATAGCTCGTAATAAAACTTGACCTGCTACCAAATAAGAGGTAGGTAATGATAAATATTACGGATATATTTTTAATAAATACTCTATTTATTATGTGCTAAATCATAACAAGCCTTCATCTAATCAGTATGTGTTTAAATAGTTAAATATGTACATAATTAATCACAACGATTATATATGCTAATAATTATATCCCACACATCCAGTCTTTATTTCAAATATGTACTACAAGGTATAGTAGTTTCACATATATGGATCATGACTCGCATGCTATCAAAGTTTTAAATATTTAATACGTGAGTTTGAGACACTGCACCCGTCCGGGTATTAATACTGATTAGTATGTGAGAATTCCATATTTAAACTAGTTATGAAATTGTTTTCACATCAGTGCCCTCTGGATATATAAAAAAAGAATAGAATAATTTGTGACACAGTGATGTATATAAATCACAAACAAATGTATTAAATAAGATTTGAACATATATAATATGAAGTAGGCACTGCCTAAAAGTGAGCACAACTAAGTCAACAAGGTGCACATTTTGAACTGTCTAATCCACGTCTGCACTGAAGCATGTTTTTAAAATTTGTTTTACATTTTGCATGATTTGAACAAAACATCGGCACATTTACATGTACTGATGTATCATCATCATCTTATTATTATTATTATGATTCTCCTGGTTTGGTGACACAGGTGTAACACGCTTGTCTTTTAATTAGCTGTCCACAGTTTCATTTCTTGAAGGTATATAGGTTTCCTCCCACAGACCCCTTGTATACTTAAAACAAGTGTGATTTTTATAAGTTGAAATGATAAAGTTACCATATGTACAACATACAACATGAAAACAGACAAAGGAGAACAAAAATGACGACAGGATAACGCAAAGCGTGACATTATCCCAGCGCCCTGCTGTTTAAAAGAAAGACACACAATCATATATATTAATATTACAACAAATTTAATTTCTATTTGTTATCTTTAATTGTTTCATACAAAGTACAAATGTATTGAAATTGAGAACTTCTGCTAGAACACTAGCTTGATGCCTGTACACAGTCTTGAGTAACGAGTAATTACCTTGAACGGTTTAAAAAAAACTGGTCTGAAAAAAAAATGAACTTTGTGATTTGGCCTATCTGTTTCCATGTTAACAGAAAAAGAATTTAAATGGTGAACTTCCCCATAGCAAAAGATACGACTAGCTTTATAGGTGTAAAAAGTTTTGAGCAATTGTCTTGAATGGTTTCAGAGTATTGGCATAGAAAAACTGAAAATTGTGATGACGGTTATCTGGTTTCATGGTAACAGAAAATGTATGAATAAAGTCTTTTTCAACATATCTAGAAATCTTCATAATAAATGTACAAGAGTTTCCCTTTCAGAATTACAGAGATTGGAGAGAGGACTATCTATAATAATTGCTTTAAAAAAGAAACAAGTTTAGAGTCAAAATATGGTGAAAGACAATATAGTTTTAGTTGGATTGGTAAAGGCAGTGCTTATATGTTAAACCAGTTTTCATTATTAAAATCAGAATGTTTTGCTTTAGAACCTTCAGTTTTTTAAGCAATGTTGACTTGTCTTGATAGAAAAAAGAGGGTAAAGTTTGAAGCACTACTGAGACTATTCTATTATGCATTGTTATTCAGAAAATCAATATAAATATATATATTTAAATGAAATTCTCATTAAAGTCACAATATTACATAAACTCCTTTTTTTCTGGAAAAAAAAACCTCATCACTAATAGTTATCTTATCATTGTGCCCTAAAAGTGTTTGCTTGAAAATTTCTTAACATTCAAATACTTCTAATAATTAATTTCAAACAGTTATCGAAAGAATATCCACATCTTGCAGTTTGAATGTAGTTAGGAGACCGGACAGGTTTTATGCGAAATCCGGACCTTTCGGCTGCTTCTGTGAAAGAGATGATGTATTTCTCGAATATGCTGTGTGTGTATGATTGAAAATTATATAATCTAAATAATGTCGCTAAGCATGTTTTTCAATTAATTACAACACCCTTTTTTGGTAATCAGTGGCATAATGCACATAGAACTTTAGATATATGTGTGTATATGTGTACAATTTCCGCCACACGAGAATTGGCTATCGTTAAATGTGATAAAAAATGTTTTGCTGTTTGTATATTGAATCAAGCAATTTCCAAAAATTGTATAAATGAGTAAAACCTGCTAGTAAATTCAGGTACCAAACTTCCTTTTCCAGTTACAGTGGAACCCACTCCAACTTATTCTAAGACCTCGTAAGATATCTGTATATGCTTTTTGAATAATAACCTGTGTTTGTATTCTTTGATGATTAACTGATTTATTTCTTTCTTTTTTATGTTTTTTTTTTTTTGGATGGGAAAAAAATTATTGGTGTTCATAAAGTTTGTCAATGGAAACAAGTCAATTAATTAGCCGACGGTGATGATGGTGGGCTACTCAAATCGCTCTGAGCCTGTGGTCCGTACGTCTGTCTTGGGATTTGGCAGGTTAAGATTATCATCGCTATTTCTGCAAGGGAATGTTCAAATGTCTTATCATTAAGAGTGAAAACAGAGAAGAGAAAAGAAGGGAAAAGATCCAACTTTTGAAGAGCATATAAAGTTCAAACAATGGTGGACGCTAAGATCTCTCTGCACTCTCTTAGTTATTATGATACTATTTCTTTGAGCCTTTCCCTGTATCTTAAGACTGTTCCATTTTCACAGTTTTCCAAGAAAAAGACACCACTCTTGCTCCTCCTCCTACACCCACAGCTCCACCTCTTGTGCAACCAGGTAAACATTCCAAATTACTTTAATCATTCTTTGATGGTGATGATGATGTTTGGAATTCATTTTGGATGGATGTTTCCCTCAATACACCAAATATGTTCATTTCATGAAGAAAACAGTATTTCTAACTTAACTGTACTGTACATATGCAAAAGTAATGTGCATGTCATTGATAATACTAGGAAGAAGTATCTTAAAGAATTTCTTTTTGTGTAAGTGTTTGTGTTGAAAAAGATACATTTGCCAAATTTTAGGAGCGTTTCACTTATTGGTAAGTGATTAACACCTGTACTTATCCTTGATATCCTTATCCTTGCCCACTTAGTCAAAATGTCTCAGAAAGAGAGCCATACAGGTCTTAAACATCTTTCTGAAATCCTTATCAGAAGAATCCTGCTTTTTTCAACTACCTGTGCCTCGTGTGCTATTTAGAATCTCCATGTATCTGTGTTTTATATATGTTTTTCTCTAGCCTTGCTGGGTACTTCTGGTCTAAGTATATATCTATAGAGATATATCTTTTGCAGTCTCTTCTGTGTGTTATTTTAAGATGTTCAATTACTGCTGTATCTGTGACAGGTCGAAGAATACTTATTTCCCAAATAAGTTTTGAAGAATTAGTTTGGTATAAAGTGCAAATTAGTATTATGGTTTTTGTGAAAAAACTAAATCTATCGTAAACAAATTTGCAGTTTCAGTTTTAAAAGACACCAGATAATTTGCTTGCTGTTTCTTTCATTCATGTTCTTTGAAAAAAGTAATTAACCGTTTTATTGTTTATTTTGTAGCTAATACAGTCGTACCTCCAGAGGAGTCATTTCCTGCCCCAAATGGACAGTCCGAGCCTCGTCTGGAGTCACCACCTGTTACACTCATCCTCAGTATGTGGTATTAAATATCATGTCATTACTTTTGGCAGAATTTTAGTAATAAACATAAAAAATTAAAAGGATTTCTGCAGCCCCTACAAAAAAAATTTGTAATTTTAGACTTGAGTATGAAGAAAGGAATCACTTCAATTGTCATCTTACAGCAATGAAGAAAATATCTTACATTTCTTAATTTATGTAATATAAGTATCAAAAGACTTCAATTTTCCAGCTGACGAGCTTTCTGAGTCCTCTGTTCGATGCCAAGCACATCTCGGCAAACATCAATTACATCCACACCAGGTATGCTAAATGGTATACAAATTAAAAACACCTAATTGCAAATAAGTTGATAGATTGCTTAATGAAAATATACATTGTCTTCATAACATGAAAACAATATAACAATATAGTATAATACCAACCAGGTAAGATAATAGATATTTTATCTAATTTTATACCTGGACTCTGCATCATTTTGATAAATTATGATTATACACATGTACTTTTACATATTCATGTTATTGATGCAAGATTTGGATTGGTATATAAATATTCTATTGAAGTAATAAAGGGATATTTGTTATTTTGTTTTAAAGGAAATACTTTCATTTTCAGAGCCTGTGTTATATGAAAAATGGCCGTTTAATTTACCCAAAGTTGATCACCATTGGGTATCAAAGACATTTTTTGGTTGAATGCCAACAACAATCATCCTCCACAGCCAAGCCTGTCTGGGAACACGAGGAACCGAGCTGATAGGTACTTTGCCCACAGACTTTTCTTGTGGATGCCAGTCAACATCTGGGGTGTCCAGTAGTTGCCCTCGTGTAGATGCAGACAACACCTGCAATGGTATCCTAACAAGAGCTGGGATACATCAGAAAAGCAGCTTGTTGTTGATTTTGTTTCTACTGGCTTCTGAATAAATGTGGCAAGAAGGTAAGTGTAGATTTGTTACAAAATTCAGACATGTCTGAAAAGTTAAATTACTTGTGTCTGTACATAAAGGATTTTAAAGTTTCATAGATTTTATGTATTATGGTCAAGCACCTTTAACACATGTACTGATCACTCGTGCTGTTGTGAGGGTGTTGAGGACCATAAAACAAAAACAACAAAGATTTATGCTTGCATCCATCTCCATAACATTTTGGTTTGAAATTTGAACCTTTTAAGATACATTTCAGAATATTTGTGTTTTGTTACAGATGGTTGCCTGGGCACACAACCTTATTGCTCAGCTGGATAGAGCCTGGCAGTTGTTGTTTCCTGCAATCCTGACTGCAAGGTTTTCCTGCAATAAAAAGATGGTTACTTTGGTACGTCAGAGAGGGCTAGGAAACAGCAGCAGTATTGTGCAAAGACAGCTGGAGGAATTATATGGTGACAAAAGGTCCATCACTACCTGTCAGCATGTAAAACTTTCATGGCTGCCAGTTCCTCAAGGCTGGTGTCTTTTGGTGTCATTGAAGATCCTCCACTGCAATCTCCAGTTCCACAACAATGATGGCTGATGAAGGTCTTCAGCTAGATGTCCTCCAGCATCTAGATTTCATCTAGACTTCCATCACATCTCTGTTTGGCAGTATCATTAAAGTTGATTATACCAAGAAATTCACCAAAAGGTTGGCAGGTATGTAATGGAAGGAAATTTAGCTTTGCATCCTAAGGTTCCTTTATTTTTTGTTTAATATGTAGCTTAAATTTTGTATCCATTGCAAATAATTAGAAAATTTGGAAATTGTGTGTTTGACGTCACTCTTTTCTCTAGCTGCTTTCCCTGGTTTACAAGTCCATGTGTTTCTGAATTACAGGTAAGAGTGCAAAGATGGCTATGTGGGCAACCAATGTTGGTAACAAGTATGGTTAAGTAATCCTGTCTCTCCTGATGGCCAATGAAGGACAGGGCCTTGCCGCAATGATTTCGGGACTATACCACCGTTACCTTGATGCCAAAGTATCTCCACCACGTCTGCTGTACGTCAACAGAGATTGTTGTGACAGCAGTTGTGTGATGAAGTACTTCATGAACTGGTCACATCTTCTTATGCACATTCCTATATGTATGCACCAACTTCCATGATCCTTGCTTAACTGTGAGCAAAGTTATGCTCTGGAAAGGAAAGGATTGACGGAAAGACAAACAGACAATTTTCAGGCAGCATAAAAAGTAAAGATTACAAAATAATCACATTGTATCTACAACCCTTTGATAGGAGCATCACATCACTACGGGGAAAGCAAATCATACCTTTCACCGTCCCTTTCAATCCTCACAACCCGGAAATAGGGAAAATAATACGAAACTTTGAATACATATTGAGATATAATCCTGAAACAGAGAAGATACAAACCGCTAGAATACTAGTAGCATATACTACTCCAAAATCACTCAGGAACTACTTGGTACATAGCGATATCAAACATACATCCAGTACCACAGGCAGTAGACCATATGCAAACACATGAACATTAGCGACTCGTTCACCAGTAATATTACCAAAGAAACGCCGCGTAAGAGGACCACTGAACTGTCAAAGTAAACATGCAATCTACTTAATTAATTGTAAAAGATGCGGCAAACAGTACATAGGCCCAACATCCAACGCCCTAAACACAAGAATAAGAAATCACCTGTACGATATCGCCCACAAAGATGAGAGGAAGCCAGTCACGGCACATTTTAATATGCCAAACCACATGTTAACGACGTCATGGTTACCAGGATTGTGTCCAGTATACAAGACGTCAACAATCGCTTACGCGTATAGGAAAGCTGGATTCATATTCTCAGCACACAACATCCGTGGGGACTCTACATTATCAGCTGAAAATGGCAAACACCAAAACTACGAAAGCAATAATCAAACCAACGACAGGAACCAAGATATCATGCATCCTATGTGGAAAAACATATTAAACTATTGGAATTCTGAGAAGACACGTCAACCATGTGCACGGAAATATAAGATACATATGTAAAAGATCTTACAGAAGAAGAGAGCACTTCAATGGCCACTTAACCATCGAACACTTGTATTACAAAATCGAACCTGAAATACGGGAGGATAATTACCGAAAGGAATCCTATGTGCCTAAAAAATGGAACAAACCGACAGAAGTACTGACCTGGCAACAACCAGAGAACATTGAACTCAGGGTTAAACTGGCCCCCTCCACCACAGCACAGGAAACAGAAACTACCACCACCAAAGTCACAAGCGAGGATACCTTGGAGATCCTGAGGCAAGACCTAATGCTAAGTGACTCTTCAGAAACTAATTCCACCAAAAGCAAGTTATCTGATGTTAACTACAGAACTCTAGACTACATGTCAGCATCCACCAGCATTCTGTGCTTGGATGAGAAATGTGACTGTGTTAATTTAATTATTTTGATTATTTTATTCAGTTAATATTACATGCATGTCACAGACTATTAACCGGTACGTAAGGGTTTATCTGCCCTTGAGATAACTTAACTAATAACCTAACAGTAAGGCTTATCTGCCCTTTATACAATGTACATCTTACATCATAATATAAAAGCGAGCTCCATTTTTTGAAAAATTGTCGAAACATTGTCCTGATAATGTCTCGCTTACAGCCAATAAATTACTAAACTTAACAGGTGATGCTTGGGTATGTTGTGATTGAAACTACCTCGATTTATCACAAAAATTTATACTCCTATGGGTGCAACAAAAACATTATATATAGTTTATCTCTTGTTAAGACTGCCATTTAAAACATGCCTACGGTTGAGTGAAACCTTTCCAAACTCTGTTTTACATGGTAAACTTTACAAGAGAGAGAGCAAGCTAAATGAGAACATACTGGCTTGGATTGGTTTTCATTAAATAAAATTGGTCTATTATTCGTGAAAGTACAGTATTAGCAGCTTGAAATCCAAAATAAAATCAAAACATGTATTCTTTGATCATCATGTTAAATCTACACCTCATGATTTACATGACAGGTGTATTATTGTGCCTGCTGATGAAGCTTACATTGACGTGATCCTTGTTTGTAGAAATCACATTTCCTGTATACAAAAAGAACTTGACATGCTTGAGAACAAATGAAATCCTGACTATCAATTATCAAATCTTTTCCAAAGGAGAAATGCTGGCTAATCATACTTCAGTACATTACACCATTCAAATTGACTATTAATGATAGAGATACATACCTCCCTCCTTTATATTGAATTCCTAAACACCATAACAATCCACAAACACAGCTTTTATTGCTGCCTCATCTAGTTCAGCAAAACCTCTATCAAAGCCTCTTACTACCATCATTAATACTATCAAATCTGGGTAACAGTCTTATTGTGATAAAATGTACTGCTTACTCCAGAAGTAAAATTAATGGTTTGTGGATTTTAAAGAACTCCAAAAGAACTTTTCTCGAAACTTCAATATACTTTCCAAAAAATTATTAACTTTAAGAACCTTTGATTTTTCTACATGATACACTTCCCAACTCCATTCCAAAGGTGAACAGCAGAATGAATACATATATATTGTGTGATAAAATAAACCCATTGAAATCAAATAATAAATATAGGGAGAATGAAATCTAAAAAAAATGACAGAATTTCTGGTCGACAATATCTTTTAATTTTACGAGTTTGGTGGTAAGATATTCCAACAGACTATTGGCGTTCCTATAGGAACACACTGCTCATCTCTTGACTGACTTGTTTCTGGTTTCATTGAGGCTTGAGGTTATCACAGAGCTTATCAAAACTAGTCAACAAAGTGTTCTTTGACAGTATTTTAATACAGTAACTGTTCACTGGTTCATAGAACTTTCCACATCATTTTTAAGTTATAGTGAAGAATGGTATACAAATGCTTAGAAGTAGAATTTAACACAATGAGTATTGTACAAAAATAAATTATCTATCAGTCTGAAACTATGATTTTGGCTACACAATACAATTAATTTCTTTTTTACAAAGTTATTTCAGCTACACAATACAATTAACTTCAAAGATTTGATTCAATCAGAAACATGCGTGTTTCACAATCTGCTTGTAATGATAAACTCTATTGCGTTTAGATAACAATGTGCTCATGTCAGCTGTTTATATGAGAGCGTTTGTGTTTGAGAATTTCTGTGGTGGTAAAATTATAATCCTTCTCACAGATGGTACAGTGGTACAACTTCCTCAGGGTGTTCAACTGGTTCTCGTTCTCCTCCTTTCTGTCTTTTTCTTCCTCGTCTTTTGTTGCTGAAAATAGTATTTTATATTCATTGATTATTTCAAGATTGTCTTAATAAAAATTTAGATGTAAGATAATGTGATCTGATGGAGTGTCCTGCTCAGGGCCTCCAGTGGTGGTAGCACTAATAAGTCTATCAGTCTCACAGAGTCACAAAGATATATACACATTGCAGCCTCTCACATACCTACACACCCATCACATGCACTGACCTCATATACATAGGAAAGCGTCCCTATAGGACCAAAGATGTTAAGCGACACATGTATAAAACTAAATCAAACAGTCAATAAATTGAGTTATTTTATCCGTGAACATCGTGGTGTATGATTGCTAATACCATCTGGTCCCAGAAACATACTTTTAGCAGATGACCATGATGATACAAATTCCTATACTATCATTGAAGGTAGTGAAACCATCTCTCCAGTGTTGACTGATTGACCCTTTAACTCTCTGAAACTTACTTCCAGAGATGCTGAATTGACACTTGAATTTACAGTAACTTCAATCTGATCTAACATTTTTTTCTATGACCTTATCTTTGCAAATTTGATTTGGAATCTCACTAAAAACCAGACATGTTTTTTGTGCATGTATATATCAGGTAAAACATAAGGTTGCTGGACATTCTATGAGGGTTTTTTTTGTGCAACCAAAATTGATTTTCTGTCATCAATGCAAAACCTGATGCCTCCGTCTTCTCCTTCCTCTCCTACTTAATCTTCCTGTCACGTCTCCCTATCCAACTGTCTTATTACAGTGTACCTTTAGTGAGAACACTGAACAAAAAAAATACTCACTATATATCACAACACTTAATCTGCTCTCTGTTTTCCCTTCAGCCATAGCATCCGTCCAATACATGACATTGACTGCTAAGTTAACTCTGAATAAACTTCATAATTGCTTTCCCAAACTTGCAAACTTCATATGATACTGACGTAAATAAAACTTTGATACCTCCCCTCCAAACACAGAAAATTTTTCTGTAAATGTTGACAATGTTGATTACCTTCTATATTCTGACTGTGACACTCTGCTTCATGTCGGAGCCTCTCCAAAACGTTGACAAGTAGATTGGCGTTACAGCGTGGACATATCCAGTGCTTCACCATGTGGCTGGTATACTCCCCCCATACGGTGGCTGAACCCTCGTCTAATAAACTGTTGAATAACAATATTGTATTACTAAATGTGTTGTTTTGTATTTACAGTGTTTACTGAATTACTCTGAATACACTTAAAACACAAGAAAATATTCTCAATGGAATGGTGTCTGATTTACACTGAATCCACATATACACAAGAGAATACTCATATTGGAATGGTGTCTAAATTACTCTGAATCCACCTAAAGACATTAGAATACTCTCAATGCAGTGGTGTCTGATTTACTCTGAATCCATCTATACACAAGAGAATACTCCCATTGGAATGGTGTTTGTATAGTTATGGATCATTGATAATACACAACAGATCCTAACCCAACTTCAAAATCCAATAAATATGGGAAACATCATAAATATGATGCCTAGCAGCCTTGACGATCACCTGAGATAAATAATATTAAATATATAGGTTGAAGGGTAGTTATCAAGTGTCATGAAACAGAAATTGTGACACTGAATATTGACAGTGTTAATACCTGCATTCCATCAAAACTGTCATCCTATACTAATCATTTTTACCAAGTTATTTCCAGTGGGAATTAACCAACGTGCTCAACCCCTTTTGGGCCCACCCATCAGTGCCTGGAGGTCAGTCAGGATCAATATGAGCATACCATCATCCTTCACTCACAGTTCTAACCAAGTTTGAAATATTTCCAATAGAAATTAAACAAATTTTTCTCCAATATAAACTATAGTGAACAAGAATTGTGAAGCATGGTTTATATCAGTGAACAAGAATTGTGATGCATGGTTTATATCATCATTGTTTATATCAGTGAACAAGAATTGTGAAGTATGGTTTATATCATCATAGTTTATATCAGTGAACAAGAATTGTGAAGAATGGTTTATATCATCATCTTTACACCAGTGAACAAGAATTGTGAAGTATGGTTTATATCAGTGAACAAGAATTGTGAAGTATGGTTTACATCAGTGAACAAGAATTGTGAAGTATGGTTTATATCAGTGAACAAGAATTGTGAAGAATGGTTTATATCATCATAGTTTATAACAGTGAACAAGAATTGTGAAGTATGGTTTATATCATCATAGTTTATAACAGTGAACAAGAATTGTGAAGTATGGTTTATATCATCATTGTTTATATCAGTGAACAAGAATTGTGAAGTATGGTTTATATCAGTGAACAAGAATTGTGAAGTATGGTTTATATCAGTGAACAAGAATTGTGAAGTATGGTTTATATAAGTGAACAAGAATTGTGGAGTATGGTTTATATCAGTGAACAAGAATTGTGAAGTATGGTTTATATCAGTGAACAAGAATTGTGAAGTATGGTTTATATCATCATTGTTTACATCAGTAAATCACAGATTGATAGGAGCACTACTGAAATCTAACAGTTGCAGGGGAATAGTGATAACCTACTTCTGAGTGAAGACTCTTTACCATGACAAAAATTTCTAAATTTGTCATGAATTTTTTTAAACTCCAGTCCCTTCAGGCAAGTTTCCATTATTTCATTAAATTTGCGATGTAAAACACAGTCCTGAAATTGTTCCATAAACAGTTATTTCTGCATTGATTTTTGTGAATACCCGAGAATTACTTAACCATTGAACGTCTGTCAGATTGCATTTATTGTCAATATGAATGCAATCTGGGTGACAGATAAATAGAATGACGTCCGTTAGTCTTGGCAAAATCCCACAGAACAAAGGAAAACATCTACTCATTGTCATCAAGTCTACAGATCATCAACTAAGTGACACCAAACATCTACGAAACTGGTGCATTACATTAGTACGAGGATAACGAGGTAAAAAGCAGTCCCTTAAAGATGTCCACGAATGTAATGTTAAAAACAGTATGGCCCTTAATACAGTAAATCTACCTAAGCTATGAAATATAGAATTAAGAAAATGACCAAGATATTCTACAATGTCATAAGCCTTTGGCAAGGTGACTGATATATCAAATTATAAAACAGGATTAATCAATTTGATAAAATTCTGACATTGTTGTAAGATTCCATCTATCACTAAACATGAAATCCTGAGATTTTCCTGAGGGAACTGGTGCTCTGCTGGTGTCAAAGTTTTTAAACTGTTACCTTTATCTGACTGCACAAGATCTAGCTCTCTGACAAGTTTTGTTAACTGCAATGTTGACAAAAAATTAAAGAAAACCTGCTTGTCAATTCAGCATTGAGTCTAGGAACCTGTGCTAGACACAGTAAATGGGAATTCCAGTAAACGGCTTCAATAGTCTGTCCAATCACAAAGCCTTACTAGAGCATTGTTTTGTTTGCTCTCATCTGAATGAAAGTCCTGTAGTGATATCATTTTCCATTCAAGAGAAGTAGTGAGAGCAAAATTCAATCTTGAATGGGTCAGAGGTCAGAATTTCAGTAAGGACCATTTGTGGACCATATAGACCTCACTTGTGGTGTAATTATACAGACTTGTAAACTGTAATTTATTGGCTGACTCTGCTTTGGAGTCTGTGTTCACCTGAGCTGGGATGCTGCAAGGTAGGACAGGTATATTGTGTATATCATATGTACAAATGTAGACATCACATACCAGATCTCCAGCAAAGATCTGTCAACAATGATAACACATTGGGTACATGTATGTCCTTCTAAAAGGAATTGTTGTCTTCTCCCTAAAACCTCTAGTTAATTCTGAATCATGAATTGACGGTCATCTTCACCTTATTCCAATGTCTGTCTATTCTATTCAATAGGTCATATCTTTTATACATTCCCTTAAGAAATGATATATGAAATGGTGCTGCAGTAATGGGTTTTTTTCCAGAGAAACTGTACAAAGGACTTCATGGCACCCAAGTACTAAGTGATCCATTCAAACTGTAGATATATTTAAATTGAACAAACCATTGATCAGTCAACAAGCTTTTCTTTGACCTTTTTCTCATCACCTGAAAATCATCAAAGTCCTCCTTTCCCAAATATATCAATTGTTATTATTTAACATGACAAAGTGTTATGAATGACCTTGTATATTTTCATAGATATATGGTCTGTTTACTTCCCACATAGGATCTCATGATAATTGCTCAACAAATGTCACATTTCATTGTCTAGGAAACACTTACCAGTCATATGTGATATATTCATTGATCTGAGTTCCACCCTTAATTGGATGTTCCTTGTCACCATGGTTACCACCCATCAACCCTGTTACTACAGCACTATCCTGTTTACTGTTGGGCTCTATAACAAATCAGAAACATGGATTGTTAAAATATCACAAATATTCAAAACAGTATTACAATACACATAATTACATAACTAAAGAATTCAGGTATTAGAGCCAACTCCATCTGTCTAAATTCTTCGGTGTTGTTGATCTAGAACCCCTTCATTTTAGGGATCCACAGAAGGGAGGACTGAGTCTGTTACTAGACCACATACCAAAACTAACAAAAGAAATTTCGACAAACTCTGAGAAGAAGAGAACAAGATAAAAAGTTACCTTGGTTTGTGTCAACCTTACAGCTACAGTTGAACCATACTTTAAAAACTTTATGCAAACTTATCATTCAGACACATAAGAGCCAGAAGCACACCAATCTTTTAGAAAAGTGTGAAGAACTGCTTTATATTTGATAAAGATCTATGTAATAGAACTGCACAACTTGTGCACAAATGTGTGATAGCTTATTTTGTTAAGTTTTCCTATCATGCATACATTGTGTGCATATTTTGTGCACATCGGTTAATGTTGTGCAATCCCACAACTTTATAAGTATATTTTAATGCATTTTGTTTCAATATTTTCTGCATTAAAAAAAGAATGGTAGAATCATGGGGATTAAAGAAAGAAAGACTGCCAAGGAGACAATAAGGCTGAGGAATAATGATCCACAACCATGAGTCCAGTCCAATTAGAGAAAGTCCACAACCAACAGATTAGTGGTCCAGCTTGACTAGGTACACAACTAAGGAATCAATGCGACAACCAACCTACTGCAAGCTAAGAAAGCTCAAGAAGGAACTACATTAGACACTACCACTACTAGGAAACTTAGAACATTTGGAATTAAAAAAGAACAACCCATAAATATCTTATATCATTAATGAGGTATTAACATCTATAAATTTTCTTTAACTGCATCAATGTTTCCTAAACATCTGTGGTGACTTTGTACAGGTAGAATGTATTAACTTTTCAGAAGAGATAATATTAAGTATATTTTGTGTAGAGAAAGATAACTCCACCTGTTATCAAGCACGAGTATGTGGACTGTATTGATAACCAAAAGAGAACTTAAACTGAAAATCAATCCCATTTGATTAGGAAACAACATACTGAATTGCTCCCCTACGGGACTCAAGTGATAGTAAAGAAACCTTTCTTTGAAAGATGCAAGCAACCTAAAACATCAAAATTATTTTCCCAATGACTTTTTTCCAGATAGCAAAATAAAATTGAAAAATAAGATGGTACCAGAAACATACAAATACCTACCCTGTCCTGGACCTTTGTACATGTTCTTCAGCTCTGCAGACAATATGCGCCGCACAGCATAAGGAACTTCACTGTCCAAATATTCTGTCAACTTTCTAGCTAGGAGTTTTTCCAGTTTTCTTGCTCTTGGGTTGATCCTTTTTTCAGAGTCCAAGCTTTTAAAGGTATCTAAACCATAGAAGGTAAATCAGAAAAACATCAAACATTTCCTATACAAAACTAATCAGCATCTCTCTTAATAGATAGATTAAATGTGTATCAACATGATATACCACTGTCTGATCAGTTAACCTAGCTGTATCATCTATGCATTTAGATATAATTCTACAGAAAACTACACATGTCAGGTGAGCTAAAATATCTCTAAGATATTAATATTTTGATTCTCAGGCATTCATTTCTCATTGTTTGACAAATTTCTACAAAAAGACGGTAAGCAATGGTGACCTCAAAGCATAAGCTCATCAGAGGTATTCTCACAACCTTGTTGACTTATCTTCCATAGAAAATGAAGATCCTAGAGAGATAATAGTTGATGATAAATAGTAATGGTGACCTTGACCTTGAACTCTGCAAAATGACTCTGAACTCTGAAATATAATGTTGTAGGAAGTATTCTCATCGTCAGCTTCGGGAAAAAAATCTCTGTACCATGAAATCTGACTGTGCATAGGTTCTACCATGTGGCCTGTAGCTATAAACTTACCCTGGCTTCTGAGGGTGAGCAGATTCTGCCTCGTGGCCTGTAGCTAAAGACTTACCCTGGAGTCTGAGGGTGAGCAGATTCTGCCTTGTGACCTGTAGCTATAGATTTACCCTGGAGTCTAAGGGTGAGCAGATTCTGCCTCGTGGCCTGTAGCTAAAGACTTACCCTGGAGTCTAAGGGTGAGCAGATTCTGCCATGTGGCCTGTAGCTATAAACTTACCCTGGAGTCTAAGGGTGAGCAGATTCTGCCATGTGGCCTGTAGCTATAAACTTACCCTGGAGTCTAAGGGTGAGCAGATTCTGCCATGTGGCCTGTAGCTATAAACTTACCCTGGAGTCTAAGGGTGAGCAGATTCTGCCATGTGGCCTGTAGCTATAAACTTACCCTGGAGTCTAAGGGTGAGCAGATTCTACCATGTGGCCTGTAGCTATAAACTTACCCTGGAGTCTAAGAGTGAGTAGATTCTGCCTTGTGGCCTGTAGCTATAAACTTACCCTGGAGTCTGAGGGTGAGCGGATTCTTCCATGTAGCCTGTAGATATAGACATACCCTAAAGTCTGAGAGTGAGTAGATTGTGCCTCGTGGCCTGTAGCTATAAACTTACCCTGGAGTCTGAGGGTGAGCGGATTCTTCCATGTAGCCTGTAGATATAGACATACCCTAAAGTCTGAGAGTGAGTAGATTCTGCCTTGTGGCCTGTAGCTATAAACTTACCCTGGAGTCTGAGGGTGAGCAGATTCTGCCTCGCGGCCTGTAGCTAAAGACTTACCCTGGAGTCTAAGGGTGAGCAGATTCTGCCTCGTGGCCTGTAGCTATAAACTTACCCTGGAGTCTAAGGGTGAGCAGATTCTGCCTTGTGGCCTGTAGCTATAAACTTACCCTGGAGTCTAAGGGTGAGTAGATTCTGCCTTGTGGCCTGTAGCTATAAACTTACCCTGGAGTCTGAGGGTGAGCAGATTCTGCCTCGTGGCCTGTAGCTATAAACTTACCCTGGAGTCTAAGGGTGAGCAGATTCTGCCTCGTGGCCTGTAGCTGTAGACTTACCCTGGAGTCTAAGGGTGAGCAGATTCTGCCTCGTGGCCTGTAGCTATAAACTTACCCTGGAGTCTAAGGGTGAGCAGATTCTGCCTTGTGGCCTGTAGCTAAAGACTTACCCTGGAGTCTAAGGGTGAGTAGATTCTGCCTTGTGGCCTGTAGCTATAAACTTACCCTGGAGTCTGAGGGTGAGCAGATTCTGCCTTGTGGCCTGTAGCTATAAACTTACCCTGGAGTCTAAAGGTGAGCAGATTCTGCCTCGTGGCCTGTAGCTATAAACTTACCCTGGAGTCTAAGGGTGAGCAGATTCTGCCTCGTGGCCTGTAGCTATAAACTTACCCTGGAGTCTAAAGGTGAGCAGATTCTGCCTTGTGGCCTGTAGCTATAAACTTACCCTGGAGTCTAAAGGTGAGCAGATTTTGCCTCGTGGCCTGTAGCTATAAACTTACCCTGGAGTCTGAGGGTGAGTAGATTCTGCCTTGTGGCCTGTAGCTGTAGACTTACCCTGGAGTCTAAGGGTGAGCAGATTCTGCCTCGTGGCCTGTAGCTATAGACATACCCTAAAGTCTGAGAGTGAGTAGATTCTGCCTCGTGGCCTGTAGCTATAAACTTACCCTGGAGTCTGAGGGTGAATAGATTCTGCCTTGTGGCCTGTAGCTATAGACTTACCCTGGAGTCTGAGGATGAACAAGTTCTGCCTTGTGGCCTGTAGCTCTATACCTACCCTGGATTCTGAGGGTGAGCAGGTTCTGCCATGTGGTCTGTAGCTCTATACCTACCCTGGATTCTTAGGGTGAGCAGGTTCTGCCTCGTGGCCTGTAGCTATAGACTTACCCTGGAGTCTGAGGGTGAGCAGGTTCTGCCATGTGGCCCGTAGCTGTATCACACTAGACATGATGTGCTGGGCAGATTCCTCGTCAGAGAAACGGATCTCCAACCAACTATCGCACACAAGTCTGAAACGATGTTGGTCAAATTTGATTTTTTAACCCCACAAAAGGATATTTGTTGATATAGAGACCACTTTTTTAAAACAAACTCCAACTAATGCCCCCTTCTAAACTGCAATTTGCTGCAAATTCCAGTTTACCTGACAGTAATCGTCACCCCAAATCTACATTCCTTGAAATAAAACAAATCAAAGTAGAGAAAAGATATTTTATTGAGGGGACTAAGTTCCCATAAATTAACTGGTTTATATAATAAGTAGCACAAGGGCCATTTTCGTTTGTTTTACTAGTTTGACCAGGGCTGTTTGTTGATGAAGGGACCTACACACCTTATTTTGTCTCCACTAATCCCATTGAGCTCTGTAGTAATATTTGCATGTCTGTCTATTTGATGCATGAAATGTCACTTGTAAAGTGCTGAAAACTGATTTGTCCACATCAAGGAACAGGCTCTAGATATATAACTGAAGTGTTTTGTAATACCTTCTCATCAATTTTGTTAAATTCAGATAAAAATTGTTGAAGAAGTTATACAGAAAAAAATTGTTCTAAGAGGGACTGGTAAACAGTGGGTCTGACATACTTATTACAGTACATGTGTTAACTTCATTACATGTTCTCAAACAAGAAAAATTCTGTGAAATTATGATAAAGATGTTATATCTAAGCATGGCCATTACACATAGATTGTCCTATCATATGACTGCTGTGTTATTCAGTGAATGTATACTGATGTGTGAGATCAGAATTAGATAGCGACACACACTCAACAATTACATTGTGATGTCACATTGGAGACCAATGAAGAGGAAATATTTTGGAACATTTTCTTCAGGTTGGTAATACAAATAGAATAGAAGTTCTTTTAACACCAGGAAGGAAAAAAAATCACTAAATCAGAGTAAAAAAAGTTCTCAGTCCCTGATCAATAAAACTGCACTCACATGTTACACGGCAAGATAATATCATTGACTGGGAAAATCTCATAACAAGGAAAACAACCTTTTCGGGCAGATAGTTAAGGAAGCCATCTGGATATACCGCAGCAGGTCAAGTACTAAACAGAGAGGAGGGGGGCCACATACTCTCACACATCTTTCACCAAGTGTTAAACAGAGCATAGATGTATGGTCTATAATCTGTTTACCGTCTCTTCACTCTTTTTTTTACCATAGTGTACATAAGATTATAGTACAACCGAAAAAGTTGATTGATTCCTTACCATCTTATACACTACATACATCAGTGATAGTATGCTTCATAATGGTCATTTGACTAATGAAGGAGACTGTGTAGTTATCAAAACGTCACACTCTAATTTTCTATTGATCGTGTTATAAGAACTTTTGTTTTATTGAATAGGAGCTAGATTAACAAGGAAAAGTAGGTTTTCTGCAATATTTGCTAAAATGACTGATCATGTGATTAAAAGAATCTTAAATTTGTTTCCATTTCATATGTAGTTGATGAAAGTTGTCAGAATTTTTTTCAATTTAGCCTGCCAGAAGCTTACTAAAACCTTTTTTTTCTGCTCTGTTTCATAAATCTCAAAAATCTCAAAATGGAAACATATTATATCCCATTTTGTCTTGTTAACATTTTGCACTGACATAATTATGTATATAAACATACCTGGTACAGTCTGAGTTAGTGTCTATGAAGTTAGAGAAGAGTGTGGTGGTTTGTAGAGCAGGCACCCTCATTGTGTTCATCAGGTAAGGTTTTGTGGTCTCAAGTAAAGATCTGAGGAATGAAAAAGGTCATCGGTCAACTACAGGTAAGTAGGACTATCTACATCCGGTACAGGACCCAGGATGTGCCCGCACACAAATCTGGAAGGTCCTTAGTACGTGTAAATTTGTGCATCATATATATTTTCTTGGGAAACTACTTTTGCATTATAAAAGTCGGAGATTAGACATCAGTTGCAGTGACCTAACTCTGGTATGTGTGACTCCATTTTCTTAACATAGAGCAATACACCAAACACAATAACATCTCCCATGAAACAGTTAGGGAAATGTCTAAAATGTGTATATTGTCTGTTCAGGAAAATTCACACATTGATCTTGATAATCATGTTTATATAAAGAGACAATCCTTTATGAGAAATACAGTTAAAATCACCCCCTCAAAAAGATTTGTGTTATGAAGATAAAAGTTGGAAGATACAGGTGCTATACACACCATGCCATTAAATCTCAAAGATCCTACATTCTATATGATGTACAGTAAAATTATTCATTTTTGTGGGAGATTCATCATTCTTAATCCACAAATGTTATATGTCTATTAATGATAAACAGTAAATATTCAGATAGGATTAACAGATTTTGGAGCAAAATTTATCTACAATGTACGAAATCATGTGTCAATGAAAAAAAAAATTAATTTTAGACCCATGAAACAAATGATTATACGGTAATGTGAGAGATGAGATAATTTTATGAACAGACCAATATTCTGACATGAGTGCTATAATGATTGTATATACATTTAATACATACACAAATGTAAGGAGCTGGTGTTTGTGGTTGAGTTTGCCTTGAAGGTCCTTGGGTGTATTCGTGTCCAGGTTTTTAGGCTGCTCCATCTGTAGCAGATCTGGATGGCAGGCAAATACACTTGTTGGATGGAGCAGGAGGAATGGCTTACTCTGGACAATAGATGATTAAATATGAATGCCAGGTATATAGAGTCTATATCTATTTTTCAAAATTATATACTTACTTACAATACAGTGACAAATTAGAAACAGTTTGCTCTCCATCAACAACCAGGGTCATTTTGAGGCTGAGTCTCCTTGTAGTAGCTGTTGACTACCATACTGAACAACATACTGGAGGACCATTACTTGCCATCCTGACAAGCTAGGCTGTCTTTTCCGAAGTCATAAACATGACAGCACAGACTAACCTGTCTCTCATGGTTCCTGAGAATTACAAACCACTACCCTCTACCAACTGGACTATCGTTGCTCAAATTTTCATTAGACAGGTTGTCAAGTTCATCTACATACAAAGGTAGACTTAAACAATCAACTTTGCTTTTTAAGAAGTCTATCTGATCATTAAAACATAAAAACCAGTCTTTTTAAAACATGACGACCCACTTTGAAGTTCACAACAGCAACACTTGCAATGACATTCATCCATGTGTGATATTGTAGTTTTATCAGTTCACTTAGCTATGGTAAAGTAGCTTTGTAATCTAATAATGGAGTGACTTGCAATGGCTTAAGACAGCAGGGAAGTGTGTTGATGTAGTCTGTCACTCATCATGGTGAGGACCTTATTCTTTAATACCAGACTTTCAGTAAACTGTCACAAATATTTGTAATTATAACACTTGTCCTGTCTCTATTTTTTTCCCTTTTTATTCTATTAACCATTGTTTACTTTTCAAGCAGAGTGTTCTAAAGTTGAATTCTTTTCGTTTCTGATTTGTTGACACAATACCCACTAAAAAATCTATAATTTTATGCTTTGGTTGTGAATCCTATAATTTTCCCATTCTAGGAGCAAACATTGTGACTACTTCTTTCTTAATAAAATGCTTCTGGGGGATAAAGTCATGTATTTTGTATTGTATACTATACCTACACCTAATCCCACAGAAACATTGTCACAGGCCCTTGTGTTCCTGTGGTCAGTACATGTTAAAATAGAACATATTTAATTGTTGGTTCAATGTTAAATATATCATAGAAAATTGGAAACAAAAACTGAATTTTGAGCTTTACATGTGACATTTTGGAAATTCCATACAGGTACATTTTGTTTATCATGAAATAATTCCATGCTAGTGGAACCATTTCATCCTGGTTACCCGACAGCGGCCATAGTTTTACAGTGATCAGTGTATTGTCCTTCTAAGACAAAGAACAGGTCAGACGAGTGACAAAAGTTTGAACATATAGGTTAATGTCCCTTTAACGACTTCTAGGTTACATCATACAATGTGATAATTCATGCTTCTAGATTACATCATACAATGTGATAATTCATGCTTCTAGATTACATCATACAATGTGATAATTCATACTTCTAGATTGCATCATACAATGTGATAATTCATGCTTCTTACATCATACAATGTGATACTTCTAGATTACATCATACAATGTGATAATTCATACTTCTAGATTACATCATACAATGTGATAATTCATACTTCTAGATTACATCATACAATGTGATAATTCATGCTTCTAGATTACATCATACAATGTGATAATTCATACTTCTAGATTACATCATACAATGTGATAATTCATGCTTCTAGATTACATCATACAATGTGATACTTCTAGATTACATCATACAATGTGATAATTCATACTTCTAGATTACATCATACAATGTGATAATTCATGCTTCTAGATTACATCATCATACAATGTGATAATTCATACTTCTAGATTACATCATACAATAGATTACATCATACAATGTGATAATTCATACTTCTAGATTACATCATACAATGTGATAATTCATGCTTCTAGATTACATCATACAATGTGATACTACATCATACAATGTGATAATTCACTTCTAGATTACATCATACAATGTGATAATTCATGCTTCTAGATTACATCATACAATGTGATAATTCATACTTCTAGATTACATCATACAATGTGATAATTCATACTTCTAGATTACATCATACAATGTGATAATTCATACTTCTAGATTACATCATACAATGTGATAATTCATACTTCTAGATTACATCATACAATGTGATAATTCATACTTCTAGATTACATCATACAATGTGATAATTCATACTTCTAGATTACATCATACAATGATTACATCATACAATGATAATTCATGCTTCTAGATTACATCATACAATGTGATAATTCATACTTCTAGATTACATCATACAATGTGATAATTCATAGATTACATCATACAATGTGATACTTCTAGATTACATCATACAATGTGATACTTCTAGATTACATCATACAATGTGATAATTCATACTTCTAGATTACATCATACAATGTGATAATTCATACTTCTAGATTACATCATACAATGTGATAATTCATACTTCTAGATTACATCATACAATGTGATAATTCATGCTTCTAGATTACATCATACAATATACTTCTAGATTACATCATACAATGTGATAATTCATACTTCTAGATTACATCATACAATGTGATAATTCATGCTTAGATTACATCATACAATGTGATAATTCATACTTCTAGATTACATCATACAATGTGATAATTCATGCTTCTAGATTACATCATACAATGTGATAATTCATACTTCTAGATTACATCATACAAGATTACATCATACAATGTGATACTTCTAGATTACATCATACAATGTGATAATTCATACTTCTAGATTACATCATACAATGTGATAATTCATGCTTCTAGATTACATCATACAATGTGATAATTCATACTTCTAGATTACATCATACAATGTGATAATTCATGCTTCTAGATTACATCATACAATGTGATAAGATTACATCATACAATGTGATACTTCTAGATTACATCATACAATGTGATAATTCATACTTCTAGATTACATCATACAATGTGATAATTCATACTTCTAGATTACATCATACAATGTGATACTTCTAGATTACATCATACAATGTGATAATTCATACTTCTAGATTACATCACACAATGTGATAATTCATACTTCTAGATTACATCATACAATGTGATAATTCATACTTCTAGATTACATCATACAATGTGATAATTCATACTTCTAGATTACATCATACAATGTGATAATTCATACGCAACAAGAATACTGACATGAATCTTATTGGGGTATAGAAAAGTGTTTAGAGACTTTATTAAAAGCAGAGAAATGTTAAATTCACAAAAAGTAAAATATAGTGATTACCTTGGTGTGGAAGGACTGCTCTGAGTCAGACTTGTAGCTGTTACAGTCATCAGATATAGCCACTTGTGGATACAAACCACTACAGAGGATAATCTTCAGAAGATTCACATCTCGACGATTAAAGTTACGATTCTTGTTGGAGGTTTCCTTATTGAAAGAGTACAATCTACATTATAACGCACCACCAAGAATCGTTTCTCTATAAACCATTCATAAATCATCTAAAAATAATATACAGAAGCAGGGAGTAGGCTTTACAGGGAGAGGAGTTCTCATTTCCATATTGTCTTATTTCACTTAAACTAAATCAATACTGATATGTCAATATCACCCTCATTTTAATGATAAATGTTTCAGACTAAACCATTTCTCTCATAATTCAATTGTTTGTTTTTCTCTTGTATATATATTCAATAATTACCTTCTCTTCTGTTTTTTATGAAAAAAAAATGAAATGGGGAAAGATTCCCCTCAACCTCTATCCTCTAAATCTATTTGTGATATATATGATCTTATGTGGTGAACTTACATGCAGCTTGTCTATGTCATGTGACAGACGAAACTCAAGATCTTTGATATCCTCGCCCTTGTCATCCTCCTCTCCATCACTGATAGTGTAATCCTGTTAATGTTTAAGGTCAAGGTTATCTTTTTTTAATCTTTTTGATGGTCAAGGTCACTAAGATAAACTGGTGCCGTAATAATTTATACATGTTGACAGTCAAGGTCACTTGGTTAAGCTGATGTTGTAATTCTGTTAAAGGTTCAAGTCAAGGTTAAACTGTGGTGTTGTGTTGTTAAAGGCCAAGGTCACTAAGTTAAACTGATAGTGTGGTTCCATAAAAGATTTAGGTCAAGGCAACATTGATAACATAACATTTCTATATGAAAAGAAGATAAAAATCTCACCCCATCTTCAAGCTTCAACACTTTCCTCCTCTTTGACTCATTGGCTTTTTCTCGTTTTAGTTGACCTAATCGCTTCCTGTCAGCATGTTGTCTACGCCTCTCATCACTGGTAAAGAAACGTTCACCTACAGGTGTGTTGTCTAACAAGTTGTGATCCTGCGAAGAAAATTAAACCATAAAATACAAAGCGGTCCAGTAGAATGAAAATTTGTAATTTAAAAATAATGGTTTACAAATTTGATGACCTTTAAGATCTTTGCAGGCCTATGACCTTCATCTTCAACATGTTCAAACTCATTTAAGATACCTAAAACATCACCGTGTGTGAATTGTGGACAAAATTTACTAATAAATATGATTTCTAGAGTGATGACAAGAAAGTGTGACAGAAGGATGGACAGAGAGAGCAACAAAAAGATGAACTAACAAAAACATTATATTCCAACCCCTAACCCCACTTAGCTAAGTGTATTTCAACTGTGATGGCAGCTGTACAAAGGATTCTATTCTGCTCTCAGAGGTTGAAGAATATGAAGAGTAAACCTCATCAGAAGACCTGATTTGAATTGTTAATGACGTAGAAGTTTACCTGAAGTAGCTGTTTGAACTGGTCTTTAAGCTTGGTCATCTCATAAAACCTCTGTTCTTCCAGGGCTCTCCTCCTACACCACTTCCTGGTACCTCGACCCTCAGCTTTCACCTACAAAAGCACAAAACAGTATTTATATACAGGCTGTCTCTTAAACTAAGCCTTCACCTAAAACAGCAGAAAAACAATATTTATATATAGACTGTCCCACATATATATGTTTAGGTATAGGCTGTTCTGTAACCATTAGCCATCACCTAAAACAACAGAAAAAGCATGTTGTATTCATTTGGGCTGTCCCTCAACCCTAAGTCATCATGTGTCAATGTTTTTGACGAGGTAATTTTTCTGACTTGGCAATGAGTCTTTTGTGGTATGAAATAACATGAAATATTTTCACATAAATTCACAGACGTTCTGTTGTTGTTTCAAGTTTTCTCAATAACGATATCAATGATAAGACAGCTGTCTTATGTGTTGCTAAAGCTGTTGTCTTAGATGTAAGTGCAAGTAAAAGAAAATAGTTCCCAGGTATTTTTCTTTTCAAAAGTGAACCCTTTTTATATTAATGAAATCAGAATAAGATATTTTTTGAGAGTGAATGCAATGACATGAATTCATATAAATCTTCATGAATTCAAGGATTAAAATCAAAAAGCCTTTGCACAATAATGAAAATCCTACAATAATTTTAGAAATATTGTCAGAGTAAAAAATATGTTTACCTGTATCCATTCATCAAAAGCATTCAGTAGAGTAAAAGGGTCACCATGCTCCGACTCTAGAGGTTTCCGTGCTGACTGAAGGCAGAATGAAGTAGACGACTTAGTCTATAGAAACATCAGTTTCAACAATACTTTCTATCATATCAAATATATAGTGAGACAACCAACTCAATAGTGCTTAGATATTGAGGCACCTGGATTTGTAGTGGATAGATAGAGACAATAGGGTTTGTAGTGGCTAGAAAGAGACAACAGAATTTGTAGTGGCTAGATAGAAATACAACTGGATTTGTAGTGGCTAAAAAGAGACAACTGGATTTGTAGTGGCTTGAAAGTGACAACTGGATTTGTAGTGGCTTGAAAGAGACAACTGGATTTGTAGTGGCTTGAAAGAGACAACTGGATTTGTAGTGGCTTGAAAGAGACAACTGGATTTGTAGTGGCTTGAAAGAGACAACTGGATTTGTAGTGGCTTGAAAGAGACAACTGGATTTGTAGTGGCTTGAAAGAGACAACTGGATTTGTAGTGGCTTGAAAGAGACAACTGGATTTGTAGTGGCTTGAAAGAGACAACTGGATTTGTAGTGGCTAGATAGAGGGACAACTTGATTTGTAGTGGCTAGATAGAGATAACAGGATTTGTAGTGGCTAGAAAGAGACAACAGGATTTGTAGTGGCTTGAAAGAGACAAATAAATAAGAGCTGGCAAGATAGAGGGATAACTGGATAAGAGCTGGCTAGAGATTGATACAATAGGAACTGGATTAGCGGTGGTGGCTATACACTAGACCAGAAAACTGGATTAGTGGCAGCTAAACAGTTAGACAACTGGATTAGGGGTGGCTAAATAGTGAGACAGGTAGATTAGGGATGACTAAATAGTTAGAAAACTGGATTAGTTGCAGCTAAATAGTTAGACAACTGGATTAGGGATGGCTAAATAGTTAGAAAACTGGATTAGGGGTGGCTAAATAGTGAGACAGGTAGATGAGGGATGGCTAAATAGTTAGAAAACTGGATTAGGGGCAGCTAAATAGTTAGACAACTGGATTAGGGGTGGCTAAATAGTTAGACAGGTAGATTAGTGGTAACTACATTAGTGGTGACTGGACAGTGAGACAGGTGGATTAGTGGTGACTGGACAGTGAGACAGGTGGATTAGTGGTGACCGGACAGTGAGACAGGTGGATTAGTGGTGACTGGACAGTGAGACAGGTGGATTAGTGGTGACTGGACAGTGAGACAGGTGGATTAGTGGTGACTGGACAGTGAGACAATTAGACTAGTGACAATCTCAGTACAATGACAACTTAATCACAAAACATTCTATAAATATATTTGGGTATATATACAGCTCATTTAGTTGTGTTTTGCCTGTTGATGATATAGATATGTTTATTTTGTCGTATCCAAATTCCTTTACATAACTTTCAAACTGCATGCACAATCAAGGATTTACATTAAGTTACAATGAGTTTTTAATTTGAAATTATACTCACTATTGCATCATGGTCAGTGTGAGCTTTACTAGTAAATGGAGACTGCACACTCATGGCTGCAGCTATTGACAGTACTGGGTCAGTGATCTGTGGGAGGCAAAACAAAAACAAATCCACTCTCCTGATTTTGAAAAGCAATAGGAAATATAAACATTCAAAATGATAAGTAGATTTTTACTTACATATTGAAATTTTAATTGCTTACAGAATTGTTGCCTATATAGAATACTGACCATTAAATACACCAACAACGCTGAAAATCAAAAAGAACATTTCTATGTTGTATTTAAGTTACACAAATAACACAGCTAAGAAGAAATCCTATACCACTGCTCATATATACTAATGTTCCAGGGGAGAGTCATCTGACGTTTGTCCTGCTAGGAACACCAGGACAGTCAAACAGTCAGCACATTAGCAATCATGGACACCGATAAATGACCATTGTTGTAACCAACAAGATCAGTACAAAGTACATGCTAACTAACCATTTAACAGACCATCAGGTTCAGTGCCTGGTTAATGAATAAATGGCATTATACTGACCATGTACAGGATTTTTTAACTTTCTGAAGTACTGACCAATATATTGAACCAACAGTAATCTCAAGTCACCTACATGAAATATAGATCCCATGATGAGCATTTTACCAATCACAACATCAACAGGTAACCGTGACAGCATCTGACCAATCGGTGTGAGAGTTTCATCTTCTCTTAGAGCACCCTAAAACAGAGGTCAGTATAATTACAAAACAACAAAACACCACAGGTGTACTACATAATAATTATATAGATTTCCAACTTGAGTTCAAAGACTATGTGGTGACATACAAAAGTTTTATTTACAAAAAATAACAATTAAGAAAACACGTTTTCAAATTCTTACATGAACCGAACATTTTAATGTCCAAATATATCTTTAAAATTAAAATGAATAAGTTGAGACTAAATAAAAAAATTGGTTGTGAGGTTTATGCTAGACTAACTTTACTGTGACAATATTGTACGACACAATATTCAAAAACACAATTGTATATCAAACTAACCTGCTCCTTCAAGAAAATGATAGCATTCTCAATACTACTCATCTCTGGAGCTTCCAAGAAAGGAAACCTGAAACAAGAAAAAAGTTTCTAAAACTACATATTTCTCCGAAATCTCTAGGAATGACAGCTTTTCAATATTATTTATCTTGACTTTTTCTATCTGCTACTATCCCTATCTTGCTCTACAAGGAACCACACAGTGATACACATTGTATATCAATCACCTACAATCCGTATTCATCCACAAATATGCCCCTGTCCACAAATAAGACCCCCTTCTCCTTTTTTTGCAGAATGTTCAATTTCGAAACAGTAAAATAAAGATGGTTAACAGATAAGCCTTCACAAAACTTTGATACTAATTTTTATGCTAGGGGAGGGGCGCTAGGGGAGGGGCTTTTTTTTGAGGATAAGTACGATACTTCCCTTCAAACATTCCTGTGATATCCTCTTGTGTATCTTAATTGTAAACATTTACTGTTAGACACCTTTCATAATGTAACAATTAACACTATGTCTTAAATACTCATGTCTCTTACTTCCTGGCATCAGGTAGTCCCATAGAGATCATCTGTAGTACTAGGGAGTCCAGGGGAACTCTCTGTATCTCTGGGGTCGCAAACTCTTGGAACTCATCATAATCCTTGTCTTCATACAGACGGAAACAAACGCCAGGACCAGTTCTACCTGAGAAGTCAAGACAAAGAAAATATTTCAATATTCGTATGGAAAAGAGTTCAAATGACATCAATTGCTAATGAACAAATCTGTAGTGTTTCTTATTCATCAGGGTGAAAGGACACTTGATAACCACTTGTCCAATCAGAGAGTCTTCTGCTAGTTTGTGTTGTTATCTAAGGATTGATAAAAATCTGTTTAATGTAAATCCAGGTTGTATATACCTGTGATTATATTTTTTTATATTTTCTCTTTCAGAAGCTTTACATATAGCTTATGAGATATATGATCCAATAACCAGTGATGTATTTCTGTTGTGTTGTTACAGGTAGACAATGACCATTAATATCCAGTAATTATAAATAACACACCTGCTCGACCCTTTCTTTGTTCTGCACTGGCTCTGCTAATCCAAAACTCTTGTAACTTCTGCATCTTGTATTTGGGGTCAAAGTTCATTTCCTTCACCTAAACACCATAAAGAATAATTAACAATTAATGGATATTAAACACAACATTTATGATACATGTACATAATACAAAGAACCGCGACTCAACTCATCTGACATTTTATCACCAAGTTTTGATTTAAATGGATTTTAAGTTTCTAGTTTTATTCCACTTCTGAAGGATATTTCAGCACGTCTGTTTTTTGAGGGTACCACCCAAAGAATTTATTTGATAATTTGCCAAGTGATAATATGTAAAAAAAAGGATGATGAATATTTTTTTCTTTATTTTGGAGTTTTGAGGTCAAGTGAATGTTTTGCTGGAACAGCAATAATAATCCAATAATAATATGAGAAAGAAATGTATCTTTTACAAATTCTGTCGATTTCTAGGAGTACACGATAAATGTCACGAGGTCACAGAGGTAAATTTGATGTTCCCTGGAGGAACAGCACTCATGTTCATGTGTAAAGAGTCCGCTATCATACAGCCACTACTAATAGATATAAAAACATCCATTATCTATATCTATAAGCTCTTCCTGGCACATGAACCAAAGCCACTATAATAACGGCCATATAAGTTCATTGTAATAATGACCTTTCCTGAGTCAGCAATGAATCGGACGCCATCAATGGTAACCGAGGTCTCAGCTATGTTGGTAGATATAATACACTTCCTCACACCATCCGGAGCAATATCAAATACCTGTATAACAGATACATATATCAGGTGAAAATAATTATCTCTTAAATCATTTAGAAAGGTGCGAAAGCCATTTACCTCTACTTCCAATATCATAAGCATATTTCTTTTTCAAGCTTTCTTTGTCTATTGTAATAATTTTTTAAAATATTGCTTTCTAAAAATAATTACCAAATCAGGACAGAGTTAAGATCTATGTATGAGTCTTTTAGTATGTGAACAGTGAAATCCCTTGTTCACAGGTGAAATCCAAACATGTCATTTCAATTATGACAACTGAAGGCCATCCAGAGCAAGTAGGGTCAAGTGTCTTGTCCAAGGATACAACCATGTCAGCACAGACTGGCCTCCTTCTCAGCTTTTTTAAAAAAACTTAGCTGCCATAAGTATGGAAGTGTCAAAGCCTGCATGCATTTCCTTCTAAAAGAGGGTGGTTGGGTGGCGCAATGGTATGTTTCAACTATTTGCCTGGAGTTGGATTTTCGGAACAAACATGGAAAGGTATTGGGATCACCTGCCTAACCACCTTGCTTTCCCCCTATGTACTCTGGTTCCTTCCATGGTGTAAGACCTCCTTTGCACTGCCATATGGGTCAAGAAGAGTGATTAATTTCAGCTGATAGCTTATTTCACAATTGATGATATAAAGAAGAGCCAAAAAAAGTCTATGATGTCACAGAGTATACTAACTTTGTCCTGTTCTGATATTGACAAGGCACTATGAAGGGGCAGTATGATCCATTTCTTGGTATTCTCAGCATAGATTCTAGCAGCTTCAGCCACCGTCATAATTTCAGTCATACCACTCAGGAAAATTAGCAGATCACCACGCTCATTCTCTGGGTACTGTAAATTAATGTATTTTTTACTAGTACAACATAATATTACTATGTTGTATTCATGTTATTATATGTATACAACTGGTAGTAGACAAACTACAAATATCAACAAATACATAGTCATTAAAATGTTGAAATAATCAAAGCTAATTTGTGATGGAAAGGTTGATTAAATGAAGTTTTATAAAGAAACTGGGCCCAGGATCATCAGATGATCATATGTTTAAAACTGTGTTAAGTTTCGACTTAACAAATCACAGATACTGTCATTAAAAGAGACTTTATATGTAATTGGCTAAACAAAAACTTAGGCTCCAGATTTTTAAATGATCCCTCTGCCTGGTTTCAAAATCTTGTTTGGATAAGTGTATTTGTTACTCATTTATATTACAACCTAAATAAAGCACCACTGTGATATGGACAGGGCAGTGAGATATGCCTCTTAGCATGAAATCTATATTCAATCTCATTGTTTAATTTGTAACAATAACAATGGCATACACAATCTATGGGAAAATACTCAAATGTTAAAACTACAAAACACAGAGGTGAGATTACTATAATCATAGAACACTAGAACTTTACCACAAAGTATTTACAGTAAAGGTTTAAAGGATGATAAGGCATTAATAGTACATCTTACAAAAGTCACACAATACAAAGGCTATAGGACACTGAAACTAGAGGCCATAAACTCCAAAGATAAATCACACCACAAAAATCTTTCTGAGAATTTTGCCAATAACGTAACACCAGTAATATTTGGTTTGGTAATGATTTAAAAATGATTTTTAAAAAGCTTCATGTGGTAAGAAAGATCTCTACTGACATATGATAATCCTGGAGACATTTATAACACTGAACATTCATCACCAGGTAACCATTCATCATCTCAGGTAACCAATCAGAAAAATGTATTAGGGGATGAACAATGTCCATTATAGATTCGTAATCACCTTATGGTCAATCTTTTGCATTATGCGTAGGTAAGGACTGGGATCGAGTCTCTCTGCACGAGAGTTCATCTCATCTCTCCTGATGGGGCAGTATTCCAGCTGGATAGGATACAGTCTCCCTGGGACCTATAACAGGCATCAGTATCACAATGTCTGGGTCACATGACCTTGTTTTCAACTTAGAGACTTTGTGACTAAAGTTTTTATTTTCATGACATAATAATTCAGGATCTTTTATTCAATAAACAGTAAAAATTCATCAATCTAGCATACTAGGAAAACATTATAGTAGCAGTGGCCTTGACCTTGGGTTCCTGAAACATTGAACTCCCCGAAGATATTGTTTTTAAAGTTTTTAATTATTGAGAATTAAAAAAATATTACCTTAACCACTGGAGCATCTTCAAAGTATTCACTAAAAAGGTGAATGTTGATCGTGGCTGACATCAGGATAAGTTTGATGTCTTCACGATGACGCAGCAAACATTTGAGAATGCCCAGCAGGAAGTCAGTGTGTATGTGGCGCTCATGAACCTCATCAATCACAATCACACTGTATTGCTTCAGGTGGGGATCAGACGTCATCTGTCTCAGCAACAGGCCTATAGACATGACAAATATCAGATCTCATCTGTCTCTACAAGAGGCATAAATAAACAACAAAGACAGAGAAGTCCTCAGTCTCACAACCAAACCTACAGAGACAACAATGGTCAGTGGTAATCATTCTCACAAACAGACCTACAGAGACAACAATGGTCAGTGGTAAACATTCTCACAAACAGACCTACACAGACAACAATGGTCAGTGGTAAACATTCTCACAAACACAACAATGGTCAGTGGTAAACATTCTCACAAACAGACCTACACAGACAACAATGGTCAGTGGTAAACATTCTTCTACACAAACAGAAACCTACAAACAGACAGACAACAATGGTCAGTGGTAAACATTCTCACAAACAGACCTACACAGACAACAATGGTCAGTGGTAAACATTCTCACAAACAGACCTACACAGACAACAATGGTCAGTGGTAAACATTCTCACAAACAGACCTACACAGACAACAATGGTCAGTGGTAATCATTCTCACAAACAGACCTACAGAGACACCAATGGTCAGTGGTAAACATTCTCACAAACAGACCTACAGACACACCAATGGTCAGTGGTAAACATTCTCACAAACAGACCTACAGACACAACAATGGTCAGTGGTAAACATTCTCACAAACAGACCTACAGAGACAACAATGGTCAGTGGTAATCATTCTCACAAACAGACCTACAGAGACACCAATGGTCAGTGGTAAACATTCTCACAAACAGACCTACACAGACAACAATGGTCAGTGGTAATCATTCTCACAAACAGACCTACACAGACAACAATGGTCAGTGGTAATCATTCTCACAAACAGACCTACAGAGACAACAATGGTCAGTGGTAATCATTCTCACAAACAGACCTACACAGACAACAATGGTCAGTGGTAATCATTCTCACAAACAGACCTACAGACACAACAATGGTCAGCGGTAATCATTCTCAACACAGGGCATATATAGAAAGCTAAGTTATATTTGCTCTAGAAAGAAAGCTTACTCCTTACCTTCAGTAAGGAACAGAATCCTTGTGAACCTTGTCTTTGTCTTTTCAAAGCGGACCTATGGAAAATGTCATTGTCATGTCATTAGATCATATCATAAACTGACCTTTTTAACCTTAAACTTCCTGGATCTGTCAAAACATGAAAAAGTTGCATTAAGTTTAACCTTAGAGCCAAATAAGAGCCTTCCAAATATGACAATCTTAACTTTCCAGCACCTAGTAGGTCAGGCATTTGATCATTCATTTGAAAAATAAAGTAAGATAACAGAACTATATGCTTACTTGATATCGGATAAGACAATTTAAATGGTCAATTAACCATATAATGTATTTTGTAAGCTATTCCACATCAATCTTATACGACACTTGACCAGTTCTATGTACCTGGTAAGCCACTTCAGAGCCATACTCATTGAGGGTTTCATAGCCCACACGTTTGGAGAGAGAGATACAAGCTATCCTCCGTGGCTGTGTACATGCTATGTTGGTGAAGCCTGCAGCCATTAGGTACTGAGGCACCTACAACAGGAATCATTGTAAATGTTAAAAAAATTGTCAAACATCTCTATCATACTGCTGTCAAATTTGTTTTATCAGACAGTCACTAAGGAAATGGTTAATTATTACAGGAAAGTTCTTAATCCAAGTTTCAAGTAATTTACATAAAATTTAAGAAGACACATAAAATTTCACATGAAAAAGACAAATATGCACAGTTTCAAAAACATTGATGACCACATGTGATGATGACAATTATTGTTTTCTGATTAATTGTTTACTTCTGTACATTTAAATCATGGCAAACACAAATAACCAATGCATAAAGCATGCTATGACTTAAAGTGATACTTCAGGAAGGATGACTGTGGCAGTTGAAGATTCATTTATGAGACCTCCCGGATGTTGTTTTTGACATATTTTTTTTATATTTGAAGCAAGGGTAAAATGTTTTCAGTAATTTTGGTCACAAAACGTTACAAAAAATTACACAGGTTTTAACACTATCTGTATTGATAATTCACTGTTTACCTGTGTTGACTTGCCACATCCAGTGTCTCCTGCCACCACAACAACTTGATGTTGGTTGACTGTATCCAGGATTCTTTGTCTGTACTGAAATATGGGCAGATTTTCCTGGTCTTTTTTTATTTTCTTCAGTTTGTTGAACTACAGCGAAGAAAATAGTCAAGTATATCATCATTGCAGTAAGGGTACTTGGGATCAATATTGCCAGAGATATCCCCCTGTATCTTCTATTATTCCTTGATAAAGCTACCATCAACAATAAAGATGAATCTTTACTTCCCTAGCTGGAGGGTAGGACAGAGAAATCTCTACCCAAGGAGGAAATTCTTGATTGTCTAAACTGACGCTTTGCTAAGGGTTAGACTGTCAGGTATCTCCTCCGAGGGTAGAGATTTCTCTGTCCTACTCTCTTGTTAGGGAACTATCCTTTTTTCCTACCCCTTATTTCCCTTAGAAATAAATAAGCAAATAAATACCCGGTATACATGTGACATCATAACCACTATTATAGTCATTTGAATCTGAGGTCCTGTTAATGACATCAACAACTCCAACTGACCCCAACACGTCATAAAAATGACATCATTAACAATTACACGATCCTGAAATGTCACTTCCTGTGTGTGCAGGCTGTCTTGCTGAGGTATGATAGAGATATCTTACCCTCACCAAAAGTGTAGATATTTCTGTCTGATGGGGTAGAAAAGTATGTCCTGATCTGTTAGAAAAATACAATATCAAAACTATCACAAAGCTTTCCACACCTTTTGTTTCTGTACAAAGTCTATGTAGTGTAGTAGAATACTTCTGAATTCACGAACTCTTGCCACTGTCAGCTCTTTTGGTGTGTCTGCATCTGTGAATATCAAATATCAACACACATCAATCTACAGGAAATTACATCAAGGGAGTATCCCAAATGAAATTTCTAATTTTAGACATTATACATCAAACTTCTTTTATAAGTTATAATCAGCAGGACAAAAAAAATGGTAACATGTAGATATCAACCATAGGTAAAACTTTTGTTTCATTTTGTATGATTTTTAAATTGAACAAGACAAACTTTTCGCAATTAAACAGATGACATTAAAAATACATACATTTGTTGTCAATATTTCCCAAATACAAGAATACATTCATTTTATTGCTACTTTGTCATATTTTCTTTATTTTGAATGTACAATTTTAACTTACTTAATAAGTATCGGTAAGCAGTAAACTATGTCATATGTTATATTATCCAAACTAATGCTGATGTATAAGCCACACGCCCAACTGCCGAGAAAAAAATCAGCGGCATATAATGGGGAAAATACGGTAAATGAAGCATCACATACATACCAACTAGTCGCCCTTTATTGAGAAAATCTTCCACAACTTTACTCGTCAGTGCAACATTTATCCTGTGCTGTTTGTCATAATTTCTGGGCAATCCAAACTTGCTCTCCTTTGAAATATCCACCTGTTGCTTTTTTTCTGAAATACATGTAGTGTTATATTATCAATTATACACATCTAACTTTAAAATGATTAGGTATATATAAGTTAAATTGTTGTATTGCTGCAGGGTGCATCATCTTGAACGTTTTTTAGTTTACATGTAGTAAAACCTGGCTTTCATTGAACATATAAAGATTCTTCATTCAAACATTCTACAAGTCAAAAACATCATAATATCTTGACACTAGCTCGACCTTAGGCTTTAACTGAGTCATTGAGAAGAAATTGTTTAAAAATTACAATACCTTTGACCAATTCTACTTTCAAAGTTTGCTAACAACCTTCATTTGAATGAACTTGATATAAGCCCATCAATTAAGTATGTTACTGATCAAATATCATTTTGATTACATTGAGAAGTCTTTAACACATCTAACTCATGTAATCTTGACAGTGGGGTAAGATATTTCCTTTGAACTTGTTTTACTCCTGTATGCAAAATATCATGACTCTAGGGTCTAATGGTCATTTAAATGAAAATATTTAAATGAAAAAGCAGACACCCATGAGACAGATAGATGGATGATGACAACAGCATCAGCTCATTGGATATTAGGGTGGAGGAGCTGAAAATATTGATAACTTTTTACCATTTCGTATCATATTAATTTTGATGATATTAACTGAACGTTACATGTTTTTCTGGGCCTTTTGACATTTAAGCAAAAAAGACAGCTATGGCAGAGACTATGTTAAAAGCAAAACATGTTTCATTTACTCTGTTGGCCTTTTTTCAGTTGAAAAGCTTGATATTTCTCAAAGAAGGCCCAAAAATCATCATACTCTTTTTTTCCTCTGGAAAAGAAAGAAAAATATAATCAGAAACAGTTTGTACACATAAGTTTTGGCTATGTAGCATTCAAATTGGCTTTCACACTTAAAAGTATGTGAAATTGTCCATAAAGGCATTGCATGCCAGTCTCTAATCTATATCTGTAGTAAAAATCACTTAGAATAATCCATAATCTTCATTATAGGTCTCAGAAGATAAGACATATAAGCAGAACAAAACAGTTAAATGTCACTGATTATCATCAGTATATGATCTGATAAGTGGAAATCAGGTGATGAATACTAGAAGAAAGGCAATTACAACTGTGTAAGTAGTGATCAGTCAATATTACATAACAGTGACCATGCCTCAAGATTACCATGACAGTGTTTGATTGCAACATAGTCAGGAGGTATTAAACAAATATCTGTTTTGTAGGGGTATTCATAATCTGTAAAGAATTCTGAATATAATTCATGTAATCCAAATGATGATTTTTCTTTGTTTCATAGTAACAATGGCCTAGCTTGACCTTTGACATATTGACTGATCATGTCATCACATGACCTCCAACTATGGTGATTAAAAATAAATCTGAACAGGTACTAGAATGAGATAATTAAATGTGTAAACTGCAGTTTTACAGTATTCAGCATTGAAACTACAAACATAATGCTCATGTAGCAGAGCTCATTATTTATTTCAATGCCTCCGCTAGGATTAGAATCTGGGAGCTCTGTTTTATTTGTCTGATGCTCAGCCAATTAATCAAGCTAAAGAGAAGGTTATCTGTAGCCAAGTGGTATATTGCAGTTAGTATTTTACCAGGGTTAGTCTCAAAGTTTGAGTAATAATTGATAATCTATTATCATTAGAAAGGCACCTTGGCACACACACACACACACACACACACACACACACACACACACACACACCCACACACACACACACACACACACACATATAAAACAAATCCATAACAAAGTCTTTTCTCAAAGTTATGACATCTGTATATGTATAAAAATATCTGCCATTTTATTCAATGAATAGTCAGAATCCTTCAAACTAAAGAAAAATTAAACATATATCATACCTTTGAATAAAATCGTCTTCCTTGAAAAATATTTTATTGAGAGAATATCTGTATTTTCTGAAATCAAACTGTTCCTGGGGATCATCACTTTCAGTGTCACTGTTAAAAGCAGTACCATGTTGACGTCGTGATGAACCTTCTTGGTCAGAATCCGAAGAGGAATGCGATAGATTTCTACGTTTACAACCCCTGGAAGTGTCATAGTCATGTCTATGTGTTGTAGTTGCATTTCTGTGGCGTATTCGTGATCCTTCCGAGTCAGAAGATGATCTCCTTACATGTACATAGTATTCACTTTGATTACCCTTCCTCTGTTGATCTCGGCCAGATTTTTTTTCGTTGCGACTCTGTTTATGTGTGTGTGTTTCTCTAAAATTCTTCGATGTATGTGGCATTTTATCACTATATTTGTCATCATCACTTTCAGTATCTACCTGAGTACGTCTTTTATTATCCAATAATTCTGAACCATCGTGACCAGTAGATTTGTGTCGGTGCTTTCGTTTCTTGCCTTTTTTAAGTTTGTAATGTCTTTCAATATCGGTACTGTCACTCCCATCATATTCATTACTTCTGTTCTTCTTTTTCTTCTTTTTATGCTTCTTTATCAGTTCGTGTTCCATATCTAAAATAAACAGCTCGTCTTCTTAAGCACATGCCATAATTCATCAACAAAACGTTTAAGCTTACTTTTGTTTTGACCGGAAGTTCAAAAATGTATAGTCGATAAAACAATTATTATAATATAAATTAAAAAGTTATTATCACTGTAAAATTATTCATCTTTCTCAATATAAATATATGTATGAAACTTGATCTGTTTTATCCATGATACCTAACTCAGAAAAATACCTGATTAAATTTAAACTAATATCATTTTATCGACTATATTTTACTGCTGTCTCTATTTACTTCCGGTCGGTTAGCAGGAGGGCGGCTTTTATGAACATTTCACATTCACTCACACTGGAAAATGGATCTTGCCCAATGTCGTTCTCAGTATGTATGCACGAAATTTAAGACCAATAATGTGTGAAATGTTTCTGTAAAAAATTGATTTCCTGTACCGCCATCGAGCTGTAACTTAAATGCATGATAAAAAAAACTCCCGCGCGCCTTGAAAATTTCGATAAAAGTTGTATACCGTTGACACCTCAAAGTTATAGTTGCAAAATTGTCGCTCAAAACAACAATGTGATTTCTGATATTGCGTTTCAAGCCTGATAACTCTCCTATCTACCAACTGAGCCAACCAAGCATGCTCCGTCAGTTCAATGACAGAAACGCAAAACAGTGTTTAACAGGTTGGGCACAAGCCCGCATATGGATAGTACATGTAATGTAATCCTGCATGTAAGGGACAGTTACTGCTTTGAGTAATCTACTGAAATGCTGCGTTATTTTGAAAGAGAAACACATTAAGTTTGCAATAAAAAATAGTGTCATATTTTTTATGTTAGCCAGTAAACATCGTCTATTTTTACACAAGAAGTGAATAATTTATAGATATCCCTCATATTAAGCACTGCTATAGCTATATTACACACTTCATGGTCCTCATTCCCATGGTATATTTGTCGCTATACAAAACAATTCTGGTATATCCATCTGTCAGTCTGTACCCTACATTTTTTACCTTATGTACAAGCCATACCGACCTGTTCTTTTAACACACATTTCCAACACATCATTAGTCAGTGGTTAGGCTATGCATAGTTATAAATACAATAACAATGATATTCTAGGGAGTAAGGTGGTGTACCTTCACTCTAAGGGTCATATTTTTTTATGCCATCAAAGAAATAAAAGCCTAGCAAATCAAAAACTTGCATGGTGAATACTATCCAGTACAGTTTCAAATAGTGACCATAAAGTCACACCACTGACATCACTTTGCATTTTTTACACAACTGTTTTACATTATAAATGGATATACAGGTAAGAGTTTGCTAAAAATTAAGGAGATTACTTTACGAAACTTGAAAACATGGTTTTGGTTGCTTCAATGATGAAGACATCATGAAGGAGGGAATAGTATAAAAGCTGATAAGTACCATTGTGGAACTGACCCTCACTTCACTAAAGTCTTGGCTGGTTGGAACTTCCCTTTTGCCCACTAGTGAAGTGAGGTATTCACTAAAATATTTAGAGAATCCTTTTGACATATACCCGGGTAGTGGGGCAAAAGATTTTCATTACTTCTTTCTATTTACATGTGTATACCCTATAGTTGTGAATATTGTCTGGCAGTAAACACCATTATTTTAGACATCTGTTTTTCCAAATGTCTCAGTTCTTATGTTAATGTTGAATGAAGTCAGAGCAAACAAGGATTAAGTCAGAAAATTATATTTGTTCTATTTAGTGAGTAATTTTTGTTATTTTTTATTCAGATATGAAGAGATCCGAAGCAAAGAATTCCTGCCTATGAAAAAGGAGTACAACAGTAAAGACTTTTTAACGGATATGTCAGAATTTCAAACGGTATTGATATTTGTCATACTTCATTATATATAATTTTGTAGTTCTAAAAATATATAGCAGCTCATTCACATTTAAGTTTTTTTTCTTTTCTCTTTTTGGTTTCATGTATAGAAAGAATGGCTGATCTGTGTTTATTAAATGTTCAGTACAATTAACCATATTATAAATATACAAGTTCAAAAACATATTAATCATATATGAATAAAGATACTGGTATTAATGATGTTTTACCAGGGTAATAGATAGCTCTGATAATACTCATTATGTACTTGAAATGCGTCTATATATTCTCATCACATGACTATGATAATTATAATGAAACAAAAATTGAAATAGTACATGTATTTTGAATATGTGATTGTGATGCTGAATATTTGATATCAACGTACTTTAACATTTTCTTACATATTATAACACCCTATATTTCTTCTTAATATTTTTTAGAAAAAAACAAACAGTAAAGTCTATGTACCCAATATGGAAAGTCGGCTGTGTTTTCACAAGTTCATGGGTCAGGATCCAGAAACTTGGACAACAAAAGAAGAAGCAGGTACATTTGTACATGAACAGGAAGTGGGAATGTCTATATCAGTATAAGGAAGGTACTCTGTAAATACAGAAAAAAACAGACTTTTACATTTATGATAACTTTTATCATGCATGTTTATTGATACATAGTATATGCAGATCCGTAAAAATGTATATATGTTTAAAAGCTAAATAAAAAATGTGAGAAAGAAGAGAGAAAAAAAAGCAATAAAGGTACTTGAGTTCAAGACATGGTATGTTCAGAGGTCTAGGACAGGATGATTTTGAACAATACTTGTACTCTTGCCTATATTGTCAGATCTGGCTTTGAAGACCGCATCAGAAAAACTTTCCGAAGAAAAGAAATTAGTGGATGTGGAGAAGGAAAAAATAGAACAACTTATAGAAAAAACAGTTGCAGGTAAGTGACACATGTCACCAGCAGTGTAGTATACAGGTAGGTGTGATGAAATCAGGTTTTTTTTTTCTTTCGTCTAGATTTTTGTCCAAATATATATCTATGGGCCCATTTCCAAATGTCAAAAATAGGTTATTTTTCTGATCTACAAGTACATGTAATGATAAAGACTTCCAAAATGAATGGTAGCTAAAAACATTGTCAAAAATTTCAGGTTATGCTATCATTTTGTGGCAAGCCCTCATGCCATGTTGTTGGTATTAATTGTTTCAGGAAAAAATGAGCTATCCAAAACTGCATGCAACCCCAGTTTTTGGAGCTAGTAATATATATCTTGGTGGGTATGGTAGGTTTAATATGACAATATAGATACAAAACTAGTTTCCTGCTTGACTAGTAAATCAGAAAAGGGCTGTGGGGTCGGGGATGTACTGATTTGTGACACCAACACAAGGGCTGTGGGGTTGGGGATGTACTGATTTGTGACACCAACACAAGGGCTGTGGGGTTGGGGATGTACTGATTTGTGACACCAACACAAGGGCTGTGGGGTTGGGGATGTACTGATTTGTGACACCAACACAAGGGTGGGGTTGGGGATGTACTGTGTGGGGCTGTGGGGTTGGGGATGTACTGATTTGTGACACCAACACAAGGGCTGTGGGGTTGGGGATGTACTGATTTGTGACACCAACACAAGGGCTGTGGGGTTGGGGATGTACTGATTTGTGACACCAACACAAGGGCTGTGGGGTTGGGGATGTACTGATTTGTGACACCAACACAAGGGCTGTGGGGTTGGGGATGTACTGATTTGTGACACCAACACAAGGGCTGTGGGGTTGGGGGTGTACTGATTTGTGACACCAACACAAGGGTTGTGGGGTTGGGGGTGTACTGATTTGTGACACCAACACAAGGGTTGTGGGGTTGGGGGTGTACTGATTTGTGACACCAACACAAGGGCTGTGGGGTTGGGGATGTACTGATTTGTGACACCAACACAAGGGCTGTGGGGTTGGGGGTGTACTGATTTGTGATACCAACACAAGGTTTGTGGGGTTGGGGGTGTACTGATTTGTGACACCAACACAAGGGCTGTGGGGTTGGGGGTGTACTGATTTGTGAAACCAACACAAGGGCTGTGGGGTTGGGGTATACTGAGTTGTGAAACCAACACAAGTTCTACATCCGATAAAAGATCATTCTTATTCCACATATGTCTATCCCTAGCTCATTAACATACAAAATATTTATTTACATAATACCTACTCTGACTTGGGAACAGCAATAATTGTAGCTCATTCTGTATGGATGCTTCCTTTGCAACCTCAAGTGGTTTGACACTCCTTATCTGTGACAGTTACCATTTCTCAGAACAGTTTAGTGTGTGTTGTCTTAGTTTTTTCCTTGGGCAAGACACTTCACCCTAGTTGCTTTGGATGGCATGAAACAGGCCTCCTGTATGTTGTTCAATAGTATGGCCACCAGCTACAGTACTAAAGGGAGATCCCACCTCAAAGTGATACTTTTTACCATATGATTATGATTAAATCACATTACATGAACTTACTAATATATTACACTGACTGCTCTATGTGATATTTTATAATATTAATTGTATATTACCTTTTACCTCATACTCCTATATTACATGATCATTACTTTATGAAATTTCATCTTTCTCCCTTAGATAAACTTATATATTCCTTTTTTTCTAAATATTACACAACAGCTCAATCAGTTACTGATCCACATAATTTTGAATTAGTTGCCTACTAAAAGCTGTTACCAGTAAGTTAAGATTAATTAAGTGCACACATGGTTTTACTTTCAGATTATGAAGCTCTACAAAATAACCTAAAGCTAATTGGAGAAAAATTACAGGTTGTTGAAGAAAAGGTAAACCATAATTGGTGATTTGGTAGCAACAAAAGCCAAAGTAGTACTTAAGTACATTATAACGTGGTGCATGTGTTGTATCACATATTTAAGTGTTGTGTTTTTTATAGAAGAAATTTCTACAGATTGTATATGTTTTTTTAAATAAACCATAAATTGGTTACACGTACAACTTTTGAAAATATATTCTATATTCTATTATGTTTTATAACATGAATTTCTAGTCTATATGCTTTATAACTTTAGGCATAATTAACAATAGTATATTAATGTTGGACTCAAATTTCATGCTTTTCCATGAAATCCACTGGTGCTAGGATAATGTATTCTTAACTGTTAATTATTTCATGGGCATATGAATTTGTTCATCAATAGTACAAACTAAATCAATGAAAATAGAAACCACATGAAATTTTTACAGTATAATGTGCCTAGTGTTAGGGTAAACTCTCCTAGTACGTCCACCATTGTTTACCTCCTACCTGTCAAATGAGAAATGGATCTAGTAACAGACATCACAGGATATGTGTTAATGAGTACTTACTTTGTTATATGTGAATCGTTACCAGATTTCTTATTTTCCTTGTTGTTCTCTTTTTTATTTTGATAAGCCTTTTAAAAAACTTTTATTTGTCAAAAAATCTCCTCCCACAGTTCCTGTGATCTGTTTCAGAATGCTAGGCTTACATGGAATCACCCTGACATGAAATAATGTTGCAAGTTGATCCATGTATGGAAGAGTTGCTGTCCCGTAATGATTTTGTAATGTTAAATATGTCCAGAGATCTCTTCTCTTAGTTTTCAATCAATTTCTTTCAAACTTGGTAGCCTTAATTACTATGACATTAAGTGGTGTTTTTCTGAACAGCAATTTGATTCAACTGATTTGTTTTAAGGAGAAATTGTCTTTTACCAGTGAGCTTATGCCATACTGCAGTCATCTGTCTGTCTATCAACTTTGTCTACAAATCACTTCTAGACATGAACGACTGGTCAAACATACTAGGGGGAAGGGGAGCAAATTTTGTATAAACCATGGGTCTCAGTTCACTGGGGTCAGAGGGGTGTGCCCAATAGAGTAAATAATTTAAAATCCTTCTTCTCCTGTAGTGATGATTGGAATAAGCCCAAATTTAGTCAGAAGCACTTTTGAGTGAAGGGAAATCAGTTTTGTATAAACAGTGTGTTATGTGCTTGGATATTTAGAATTCATTTTCCTTTAATTTTGATGAATCAATTTCAACCAAAGCCAGATGAGCAATATAGGTCCTCTGGGCCTCTTGTTTTTTTCAGTATTTTGATTTTGTACAGAGATCTCTTCCCTCAGTTTCTCACCAATTTCTCCACAACTTGGTAGGCTTTATCAGCATCACATGAAATTGTGTATACATCAATGGCTTGTGATTTTACAATTTTGGAAATAGTTTTTGTCGTTTTTTTTTTTTTTGGGGGGGGGGGTATTTTTTTTTTATCTTTTCCAGAGATAGCCTCCTCCCTCCTTTTTTTTTTCAGTTTTCCACACACCTCTGTAAAATTTGGTATGCTTTGATTTATTATTAAAACATGCAACTTTTTGGATAATTTAAGTCTTATCACCATTTCAGTATTCTGAATATTTCTTGGGCATGGGACAGGCATATATTGTTTCCCTCTGCAGTACTCTTGCTCTTTCTAAACTTACAAAAATAATATATGTGTCATTTATTTTCTTGCAGAAATCAAAACTTGAAAATTTGAAAGCCAAACAAAGAGAAGTTCTGGCTAATTTGGGTGAGAGAATCACTTGTCCTGCAGAATTCTATCTCCACAAGAAGCAACAGGTAACCTGACATGACTATTCAGCAGAACATGGTTTAATAATCAAGATGATTAAATGGACTAAGCAGAGAAATAACAACAAAAAAATGATGTCGTAATTGAACTCTTTCAGATATGAAGTTTTGTGTGTTTTAACAGGAGGAGAAAATTGCACAATTGACATCAGCCATAGAATTATGTCAAACATCTATCAGCAGGATAGGAGAGGAGAAACGCAGTCTGGAGGAAACATGTCACCGACTACGCATCAGTTTGGAGGCCAAGCAGCAGCAACAGCTTCAGAACAACCACAGCATACAGTCACAGGTCAAGGTCATAGAGGACAAACTGAACAGGTCAGTAACTATGTCATTGTCATAGAGGACAAACTCAACAGGGCAGTAACTGTATGTCATTGTCGTAGAGGACAAACTCAACAGGTCAGGGACTGTATGTCATTGTCGTAGAGGACAAACTCAACAGGTCAGTAACTGTATGTCATTGTCGTAGAGGACAAACTCAACAGGTCAGGGACTGTATGTCATTGTCGTAGAGGACAAACTCAACAGGTCAGTAACTGTATGTCATTGTCGTAGAGGACAAACTCAACAGGTCAGGGACTGTATGTCATTGTCGTAGAGGACAAACTCATCAAGTAGGTAAGTGACTTTAATTGATGGTGGTAGAGGACAAACTCAACAGGTCAGGGACTGTATGTCATTGTCGTAGAGGACAAACTCATTAAGAAGGTTACTGACTTTAATTGATGGTGGTAGAGGACAAACTCAACAGGTCAGGGACTGTATGTCATTGTCGTAGAGGACAAACTCATTAAGTAGGTCAGTGACTTTAATTGATGGTGGTAGAGGACAAACTCAACAGGTCAGGGACTGTATGTCATTGTCGTAGAGGACAAACTCATTAAGTAGGTCAGTGACTTTAATTGATGGTGGTAGAGGACAAACTCAACAGGTCAGGGACTGTAGGTTAGTGTCACAAAATTCAACATATTAGTGATTGTAGATCAAGGTCAATAAATTAATTGATGTACCGATAGTATGCAGTTCACTTCATGAAAGTATCTTTTATCTGAGAGATCAAATTGTAGTGTGCTGGGTTTATTTAATTTATCAACAATGTGTCCTCATTCAATATGGGTTTTCCATCAACACTTGCCTCATACAACTATTGATATATGTATCTGGTGTAATTCATTGTATATAAAATTGAAAATCACTTGGTTTTCATTTTTTATCTTGTTGAAAATGTTATTTTTTTTCAGTACACATAACACAAAGTCTTCTAAAGGGGAACTTTAACTTTTGTCATTGTAGTTCATTACCTTTTGTGTGTACAATGTTTTATTGAGAAAAGATTATATGTTGAATTTCCAATGAAGAAGATGCTATTTCAATATTATTTTCATTTATGAAAGTATTTAAGTAAAGTTGGAATTTATGAAGGTTACTTCTTAAAAATCTGTTGCAAAATTGATCTCTCGTAAAGATAAAGTGATTTTTAGTTTCTTTATTCTAATTTGTAATGTAAAATTGATAGGATGTCTTTCAATACAAATTTTCAATTTTCAGACAGAAACAATTACTAACATTTATGAAGCAGCAGAGTAAAGTAGATATAAAACAGAGATCAGAGTTTGGACAGTTGGTGCTGGAGCTACTGAGTGATGAGGATAAAGAAAATATTCCTAGAATGTTTCTTACTACCAAGGTGCAACAAGACAATCTGGGCCTACAACACTTAGCCAGTGTTGAAACAGAGGTAACACGCAGTTTAAAGATAAATGTTAAAATATATCTTGTGTAAAAGATTTCCTTTAATTTTATTTTCCCTGTCTATACTCCGCTATTTCTTACTTTAAATCCATATAAAGATTCATGTTACCTGTTTTCAGTAGTTATTAAAATTGTTATAAATCCCTCTTTTTCATGAACAAAAGCACTTGTGGAAACTAAGTTATTGTGAAATGAAATGAATCAAGTTATGTTTTCAGCTCAAGTATATTGGTCTGTGATGTTTTATGTTTGATTGGTTCGTTTATTATTGATTGAACCATGTAACATCAACATGACTTATCAATAATGAACCTTGCACTGATTTTTCTCTTTGATGTGTTAGATGTATTTCCATACAACTTTTCTACATCCTTCTGAATCTTGTATAGTCATAGTTTCATTTTGCCTGTGCAGGTATTATTTTTTCAATAATTGTGGTGATGGTGACAATATCATCAACATTTCACTTTTAAAGTTTTGCCTGTAGATCCATTGCTCAGAAAGTCCAAATTGGACAGAACTTGGTTTATCGTCTGATCACATAGTGGACACCTCATCATATCCATATTTTACTAGATATTTTCCAGATTGCTTTGTCTAGTCACTTTGAACAAATGGATGTCGTGAAGGGTAGTTCTTATATTAGATAATTTCTACTTTCTTTCCTGGAATGGGAAAACATCAGATGAGATAAGCCTGTATTGTGACCTTGTGTGGTCTGTTTATATCATCATAATGGTGGGGCATTTGTGTAGTCAGGTGACTGTAGTCTACACACAGAGGACATCATATCAGAGGCCCTGTCCACTAACGACCTGCGACAGCTTGTCACCAAAATGCAGGACCGCTGGAATACTCTGTTTCCTTTGGTCCAGGAAATGAAGAATGTCTCAGACAGGTAGACAACTCTTATGTGAATTTGTTTTTAAATACAATCATGTTTAACATATATTAATATGTATTATCTTGAGCTGTGATCCACTTTTATGTTAACATAATTGTTGCCCAACATCTTGTACAAAGTTAATAACAAACTTAAGTTCTGGAGATTTTGTGGCGAGCGAAAAGTCACTATGCCATTTCAATGGAAGATATACGGCTTGCTACGATGGATGACTGTGAAATAGGTTTCTATTAAATCTTTTTGGCATGCGTTCAAGGTTACAACTATAATGAGGTTATGCATTGTGTAGTTATAATGTAGCAGAAGCAGTATTGCAGTGTGCATGTTCTTATACTCAGTTCACTGTCAGCTGAACAACCTGAATTCTAAAAGTTTACTAGTACAACAGATATTTTAAAAGAGCACTTGATGAATTACTTTTACATGTTTTACTGTCTTTAGACATGCCATAGACTGGATACAGGACCAAAACCTACTACGGATACTGGTAGGCAGAGGTGGCTCCATCATGTGTACACTTCATGTTCCCGAATCGTATCCATTCTCAGGGGAGATAACTTTACAAAAGACATCCAATTTGCCATCAGATGTGAAGGAAGAAGACATCTTGGTATGTTCCATACCATCACTTGGTTACTTTGACTTCTAATTATGACTGAGTTCAGACACAAGAATTGATTCTTGGTTCATATAATGTGTCATTTACCAAAAGTAGGTCAGTGTGTCCTATATTTTGATCTTTCAACTTTGTTTTAAACCCAGTTTCTCATCTGTTTCTGAGGCATGTCTTCTGTATGGTTTCGATAACATTTTTGTCCTTAGGAAGAAAACATGTCACATATGTTTCTACAGCATTCTCATTTTTCTGTTTTGGGTAGAATATTGAAACAGGGTTAGTCTAAGTGGGTCCATTTAAAACCTGACACTGCATTTAGTATTATTTCAGAAGTAGGAAATTCCAACAGAATTCCCAAGATATGATATGAAACAAAGCTGCAAATTACAGTGAATAGTAGAGCTGTTATCATATATCTGCATCGCGATGTATCATGATTAGAAAAGCAGGACGACGATATTGCGGAAAATTTTAAGATCGGCAATATTGCCGCCGGCAAAAAGTAAGAGGGAACAGTTTAATTTTCAGGTGAATACATGCACGATTAAAGTATCAAAATTCTAAAACTGTTTGATAGTGTCACTAAACATGTTTCTGCTGAAAAAAATCCAACATCATCGATTATGGTCCTAATGCTCGAAAAAATCGCAACTATCTTACAACCGAATGAAAGTGATCCCCCCATCATTACGGAAATGAAGTCTTAGATGTTGGCCAATTTTAACAGTCCTTATCAGTCTGAGACTGTGCAGTTATTTATCAAAACTTGTACCTTGGTGGACCCTCGATTCTCACGACATGTCCATTGACAGTGAGACTCTGGAGTTAATTATTCATGAATTCTGTTGAAAAGACACCTGTTCACCCGTCATGAAAGTGAAAACTGAACCTGATTGCCACAGTAACCAATCAGTTGCAGCCTTGACAGTTGAAGACAAACCCACACTACCAGAACTGTCTTCTGTACAGCTGATTGACACTGTCAATCAAATTGACGGCCGTTGTTCAGAACCTGATCAAAAACAGGCTTAGAAAGACGACAGTTTAGGAGACTTTCTCGGTGATGTTTTTTTTGTTAAACATGTGAGAAATTACTTGGACACAGGAGCAAATATTACACAAGGAATGGATTGATACTTAATAGAGTGTACTAGAACACCAGCCGACACAAATGTTGACCCATTACAGTGGTGGAAAGACTGGGCCGTTGTGTGCCCAAATCTATCGCACTTTGCCAAAGTTTATTTATGTGTTCCGACGAGTGTATCATGCAAAAGGATTTTTAGTTGTGCTGGAAACACTCTTACAAACAAATGTGAAACATTATCAGATGACAATGTGGATAAGTTAATTTTTCTCAATAAAAGCTTGCAATGACTTAGAATTAAAAGAATCTGGCGGACTCAAATTGAGAGTGACACGGGTTCAAATGTACATAAAACCTGTGCAATTAAAACTTACATTTCTGTCACTTATATATGTTCAAATCAAATAAAAATTACACACAAACTTGGTGGTAAGTTTTCATTTATTTGCTGATAGTCATAACATTCAGATTTTATTTGATAAGTATCGTGATATATCGCAATGATATCAGCAAATTTGACGATATTGCGATGCAGATTTCCCATCACGATAGCATCTCTAGTGAATAGGTTACATAATAAAGAGAGCTTGGATCTTTCTGAATTCTGCTCAGAATTTATTCCAGTCAGATTTTACATTAAAAAAAGTAATCACTTGGCATAAAGGCAGGTTATCCATATTATTGTACACATCATTATTTTTGTACAAAATTGTTGAAGTATGTGTTATGTTCAGGAGCGTATTGAAGATTTCTATTAATTTTTATTTCAGCCTCCATCTGAGTGCAGAAGTTTACAAGGATGGGTCGATTACTTAGAAGAAACATTTGGAAAACCATGATTATGTATTTATATACAGTGTGAACATTGCGAAATTTCATCGTTTTCTTCCTATTATGTACCATCTATAAATTGACTTTATCATTTGTATTACACGTATGTAATAAAATACCTTTATCAATGATTCACTATTGACTTTTTGGTCTTTAAAATAGGGCTTGATTGGTTGGTTACATGTTTATATCCACCTTTATTGGCTGTCAACGGATCATTTAAAAAATCATTTCAAAGGTTCTCCTTGGCCTTTCGTAGTGCATTGTTTATTTCTAGAATAGTAAAAACATTGTTAGCAGGTTGCCATCTTGGATTTTGACAGTGAATTATTTTATTAGTTATTCTTGAAATGTATTACATAGATCTTTCTCAAATATTTATTTGTAGGTTTCCCTTGTTCCCTAGCCTAGTTGTTCAATGTCCTTTTTCGGACGAAAACCATCTTGGATTTGACAGTGAAATATTATTATCTCTTTTCTTACATGCATTGGATGGATCATTTTCAAATCTTATATAAATTAATTAAGAGAAAATTTATTTTGTAAGAAGGATGAATGGAAAAGATACAACTAGGGTGCCATTATACCTCAGTTGGTTCTCTTGATTTTCATTTTCGTATTTGCAAGGTGATGTGGCATTAAGTACAATATGGAGCTCCTATTTTAATTCATCACCTTTGTCATTCTAAAAATACATGTACATGACTCATGATGACAGTTCAATAAGCACGAAGAATCACTGTGTCTGAATTTAGAACACGTTCATCCTCTTTAACACTTTCGACTTCTCAAAAACTCCTGATCTAATTTCAATGAAATTTTGCAGAAACCTTTCCTGGCTGAAGATGAACCAACATTGTGAATTATACAATCTACATCCTCCAGAGGCCTGAGAAGGCAGGGCCAAAAGGGGTTAAATTGACTCAGATTTCAAAAATCTTCTCAAGACCTAGATAGGGTAGAATCAATACTCTTCATGAATGGAAGCATCTTAAGGTGCTTTACCAAAATTTTGAATTTAATGGCCCCAGGGTCTCACATTTTCCTATCGGGAGGGGGTAAAGTTTACTATAGTTTATATAGGAAAACTTGATTTTTGAGCACAATTTGTTTAATTTCCATTGGAAATATTTCAAACTTGGCTAGAATTATAAGTGAAGGATGACAACATGATGGTAAGCCCATTTTGATCCTGATCGACCCCCAGGGGCTGATGGGTGGGGTCAAATTGATTTGCATTTAAAAAATCTTCTTCTCAAGGTCCATAATCATACAATCCAACTGAAGTAAAGCGTGGAGGGACTACCAACGATCTGGAGTAAACGCTGACTGATTTCTTGATGCTTAGGACAAGAACCTCATAAATAATAATAATAATAAACAATCACACCTGTTTTGCCGGAACTACATGTTCTTAGAAAAGGTTTCTCAACTTCTCCTCACGGCATTGTCAAAATGTTGTCACATCATCCATTGTAAACTGGAGTAATTTGACTATCAGGATGATCTCCGATACATGGCACAGGTCCATTAATACCTCTGAGGATTTTTTCCATAAGCGTTAGCCCAGTTATTATCAATTGGTTCTTCTTTTCTGCTGTCAATTTCCATATCAACATGGTGTTCATGACGACAGATATTGGTACCAGAGAAAGGGTAATTTACTGTAGATTTTATACATTGTACCATGAGTTTTTCAAGATTTTCCTTTCAAGATTCTAATATCATTGGGGTTTTTCAGATCAAACCCTCACAAAACTTTTGTTTAAACCACAGGAAACATCAAGATTTTGAGACATTCATATGAAGAACACAAATGTAATGTCTAGTACCAGTGAGCATGTACAATGCAGAGCTACCAGGCCCCTGAAATAATACTACACACATTTAATCTTCCTTTTAAATATTATACATGTAGTCTGTAATTACTATATCATATATCAATACGTAGGTATAAAAGTCATTGTGAGCTCATTTATCATGGTGAATATTCTAAAACAATCTGACAGCAATGTACAGCTAATTGACATATTTATGTACTGAAACTTGATAACATTAAAATACCACACAAATAAGCAAACAAACTTGACGTTTTTGGGGCATTTCATAAATATCTATGAAATACATCTCATATTACAACTTTAACATGACATAATGGACAAATTCCAAAGTGAAGTAGCCTCCTTGGTAATGCTTTTATCCATATCAGGCAACACATGAATGTATGAAAAGGTCTTGATGTTTTCTGTGATTTAAGAAAAGATTGAGTATGGGAGGGATTGATTAGGTAATGTAATCTACCATGTCAGCTATCGGAGAGACATATAGTGATGACCAAAGGAAAGATCTTCCTCGCAACGTTCAGCAGAGATATTGTCCTAAACTGCCACATGGTCTTTGCATCATTGTTCTTCGAATCTATCTGGCGTTGCTCCTTTCTTCAACATCACTAGTAATATCATGTAACTCATCAGCTTCATTCATTATCATTGTGATAATACTTCGGGGTTTGGCCAGTAATTCCTGCTACACCCACACTCCTTACTAGAAATGGTTTATCCAAAAGTATATTTTAAAAAAATATTGATTAACATAAGTAATAATTTATATGAAATTACACTTATAAAGGGCCAAAACAAGATATCCCTGTCAATCAGTGGATAGGAGTTGCTTTATAGGTGTTGCAGGTTAGAACAGTATATGTACTTCATAAACTAAAAAGAAAAAAAAAATTGACTCGCTAACATCAATAGAGAATGGTTAAGTCCATAACTCAATTACAATTTGTTTCTTTTACTGCAATCCGTATTTGTCGGAGTCATGCTCTATCAATAATAGATGTTCTATCAACTTTTAGATACAATATCAGTCTCTCCAGACCAATTAATATAAAGGTTGAAAGAATGTCAGAATAATTTGGACTATCTGTATATTATATATATATTTGAAGTGCTATTTATTTTGAATACCTGATCTATGGATAACATAGATTTATAACTACACTGGTAAAATAACTTTGTGAGCTACACTATATGCTTAGCTTAACAAGTCAATATTGAATAATTATGAGGTCAAAACATTAAGGACCAACATACCTTGCTTCCCTGGGACATATTACCAAAAATGTGTATCAATGCTTTTGAATTTATAAATAAATACAAAGAATTTTAAGTTTCAATGTGTATGTTGATGAACACTTCCTCAGCAAATACGTAAAGGTGGATTCTACTTATATCTGATCCTCAATGATTTGTGATGGGAGTGCCTAAGATGGGCATTTATAACTGAAAACCAATGTGACAATGAACAGTGATGAGTGGTTAATATGATGTGTAATATACATCAATGTCATTAGTGCAATGGTTTCTAGATTAAGTTTCAATTATCAACTGCGATATCATATTTTGAATTTGAAGGCTAAACTTCCCAAATGGGTGCTCATGAATAATGCCATCCTCTTGTTTACACGGTGAAAGTACTGTATATGTAGTTCCAGGTTTATACTGTAAAAATCATCAAATCTGACATTCAAATTTCTGATCTTTATTGACAAATAATTTTAATATCTAAACCAATGAAATTGCATGTAACAAACATCACATAAGTGATTGTCATGAGGTTTTAATTAGCCACTCCCCCAGGGCAAATTTGGTTCCTGTGCTGACACGTTCTCCATCAGTTGTATCACTGGATGTGTTGAATAAAGGCTGGAGTGGAATGTCACTGATCAACTGTTTTTTATCTTCATCTCTTATGGTAATACCCCTAAAATCAATCATGAAAAATATTTCATTATTAAATTCAAATTCAGGGAGAAACTGCTAGGAAGGATTCCCTAAGGGGTTTGTATGATATTTTGTTGCCTTTCAACTTTATTTTTTGGATCCACTGTATCTAAATATAAAATTGTATTGAAGGTGATTTAGGATACGGAGAGGGTGAGAGTATATACTCATATAGAATTTACTTGCATGTCTTTAGCACAATCTTCAAGATTGAACAGTTCACTATATACATGTTCTGGAAGTTTCCAGACATTTGATAATTACGAAACTTATTGAATTACTGGGCTAATGCATCTACAGATTTAGATTTTGACATTTTCAATTTTGATATTCTTTATGTCTAATTGGGTGTAGATAGTGTCATGATATGGTGAGAATATGAACTAATTCTGAAGAGGGGTTTCCTGAGACAACTTTTCCATAAAACTTTAATTTCATAAGTGGTCATGGGTAATCTTTAACAATGACTAATGGCCACCAACATAGAACTTGGTTGTGTAATGTTAGGGTGTGAATATAAACTAAATCTTTTGAGGGAATTCATGATATCTCGTACACAAGTTTTATAGATCTTCAATCCTCAACTACATAAAACCCTTACTAGATGGAAGGTAGAGGTATCACAAAATTTTAACCAGATTTAGGATACCGAGGGGGTGAGGGTATATACTCGTATAGAATTTACTTTGTTATACAAATCTCATTTCCAGTGGCTATATACTATAGCATAAATATGAAATGTATCTTGAGGGTACATGAGATACTAGTATCTTGAACACAATTTATTTTTATTACTTAACAGAAGCAAGCAAAAACATGTACACTGAACACAATGGCAAATACAAGCACTAAACATTCTTTCAAAAAATTGAAAGTCTCATATTAAGATGTAAATGTAAAAGAAGTTCATCATCAACTTACTTAACCACTTCTGGTAAATTTAAGTCCTTGAAGTGAAGTTGAGACTTTTCTTCTTCCTTGCATGCCACAATACCCTGTATGATTTTCCGGTCGAGCCATACACATGCTTCAGCTTCCTCTGGCTGTAGTCTTATCCTCTCTGAAAGAACATCGGAAGTGAGGTCTGAGTTCAGTTTCCCATACAGATAAACCACAACATGGTGTCGTTTTGGCAGTCCAAGGGTCAGTTTTGGCGGGAAAACAGACTGAAAGGCAACCAGCATTAAATATAAACATAAATGAAACCAATTCTGTGTCATTCATGACATCATAATTGAAGCCTCCTTGACCATGACAGTACACTTTACACTGTAAGTATAAATTGAATGAAAATCTGCCAAACACAGCAAAACCTGTAAAGAAATGTAAACCCGAACCTTGAACTGCTTTATCAATTTGAATTTGATCAAACTAAACATTTCAATAGCCATCAAATACTATGAAGCACAGCAATTCAATGTTTCATTGAACTAAAGATATGTCGAAGTTCATGACTGTACCTACCTCCCATAAGGTCAACATCTGTACATTGCCACCTACACATTGGTCAGGCAATATTTTCAACCCAGTCTCTTCATGCAGTTCTCGCAACCCTGCTTCAATTAACTGCAAAAAGTACATATACACTTCACAGAAATTTATTAAACGTCTTATTTGTGTTTCGATAAGTGAAAAAAAATCACTCCATATGTTTTTATATAGATTTGATATATATTATATATCCATGAAATGAAATGTGTGGTTTTATTTTTTAATTATCTTAGAAGCAAGTGCCTGTATGACTTTTCAATATTCTTTAATACATTGGAAACATCAAAAAAATATAATAAAATAATTGACTCAACATGTTAGATATCTGTTGTAATTTATAAGAGCCACGAAACTCACAGTTTCATCTTTTTCTAAATGTCCACCTGTCGAAAAACAAAACAAAATCTTATATTTATTTATAACATTTCAAATCTTTTATCATATATGTTACATGTGTATACGTATTTACATAGCATCTGTGATACAGTGATAACCAATCAAAGGTCTAGTTATCAATTATCTCCCTTTTTAAGCAGTACCCATTCACCCAGCAATCAGTCCATTTTTGGTTACATGTTATACAATCATGTTGTAGTTCAGGAAGGTAGTAAAAGCTACTATTGTAGCTCTGTGAATCAACCACTTCTTGAGATAAGAGCACATTGGATGTAGATGTTTGTCTGGTGAGAAATTCCTACTGACTGAACTACACAAGTAAAATGTGAGTACCCAAGACCTAAAACTTACGTGTAGCTGAGCAAATTAATCATGAAAAATAGCACTGTCTACTAACCAGGTGGAACCCATATTCCAGGAAATGTACGGAGTCTCTTTGAGCGGCGAGTTAAGAGGATTTTGTTGTCAGCTGATTCAAGAATCACACCTGCACCGACATCTATACCTCTATTTAAAATGTCCTCTGGTATGGCTTCCAAATGACTTTTCTGGAGATTGTGTATAGGACAAAAATGTGGTCTCTGGAATATCAAACATATTTATATGTTTAACAAGAACAGCTCACAAACATGGACTAAAAGTACCTCTACTGTTAAAATAACAATTTTCAGAAATCTTAAACACATCAATTCCCATGTAAATTTTGAAAATTTTAGAAAAAAAATTAGAAAAATTTTCCATGTTTTTCTGAATTTTTTAAAACGTAATCAATATGCAATGTAATAGTTACCAAAATGTTGTGCATGATATTTCACTGGCAATGCATAAACTAGAGACTGATAATTTACATGTACAGTGTATTTACTAATCCAGTGATTTTAACTCTTGTCTTTGATTAGTTCTTACTCTGAGTTTGATGGAGTTGTGTTTTGATTCTGATTCGTCATCTGTTACAACGAGATGGTTGTCAATTAATTCTGCATACACCTCAGACTGGTTGATACTCTTGTCTTCAACCAAGTAGTCCAATACACTCTTAAAATAAAAAAAGAAAAATCATGTGAAAAGATTATACTATCATTATACAATCATAAAAGATCCATTGGAAGGAAAGTTAGGCACAATGCCATGGTATTAGAGAAGACAGCAAATGAAACATTATGGTCTTTAAAAATCATTCATTCTTTTTATTTAGGTTAATTAATGTACAGTTAAGTTTCCCAAGGTATTACAAAAAATATTGACCCTTAAATTCTAAAATAAGCATAGTCAATAAAAAATGTGACTATCAATAACAGAATAATAAATGTGAATATAAGATAATTAAATCATCATTTTAGATACAGAAATCTTCTGTCTAATATGTGCCCTGCCATGTTCATTAATTTGAACTAATTTTCACATCTGTAACTGGAATGATAAGAATAAATACACTGCCTTCAAACACAGTGACTTGAACTAGTCTATCCAGTTATACACATATCCAACGATTTCTAAGGGATACCATGTTTTACATTTCCTTAGTGCTTATCAAGTGGAAGGCACAAGAGCGCACAGGTATAATGGAGCCAGTCTATGAATTGTCTATTTAGAAGATCTTACTTGAGTTACTCAGTATATCATAACATATCTATATATGTAAATAGTTATATGTACAAATGTGTGTTCACTTGACTGTATGTTCGTTAAAGTGAGATATGAAATAGATTTTGAATGAGATATTCTATATAACCTCACACAGTAAAACTACTGCCATTTTGGCCATTACCTAATGATCACTTCATCCAATAGTTATTGACACGAATCTGTTAACACAAATTATTTATAGAAAATGTGGATATTGACTGAGAAATAATCGAAAAACAAACAAAGCAAACAGACAACAAAGCAATTAGCCATGACTTGAGTGTAATCACTTCTGTACACCGTTTTTTTTCTTCTTCTGAAAATCTAAATGAATATCTCTTATAATCTATTACTGTATTATATGGACGTCTCATCCTATCTCTTTCAAATTCCTGAAATTATCTGAAAGTATTCTGAACCCAATTAAAAAGAAATCAAGAATGAATGTCTGTTATAATCATGGATGCATCGTACACTTCTCGTTATGTTGTTTATATTTTATTTTTCATTTTTTTAATCACATAAGAAATCCTTAATTTTGAATTTATCAAATGCACTTTGAACAGATGTATAAAAAGCAGTCTGTCTTTATGATTTATTTATCTGTACAGCAATGGGCCTCCATAGAAAAATTCTGTGAACTGAAATTATGTACCATTTTCACCTAAAAAATTACCAAACTAATTCTTAATTCAAGTTTGTCAAAGTTACATCAATGTGTAGGACAGTTACTATACTTGATAGCCAGAGGCATACATTTGGAGATTTATACATACTGCTTTTCTCTCACAATGAAGTTATCAAAATAATCGTTTTGTTAAAAATTTGGTAAGTTTCAACTAAAAATTGACACAACCTATTTTCATCTAAAAAAAATATTTGTAACGAAGAAATGTTGAATTTACTGATCGGGCATACATTTTGAATTTTTTATTTACAAAACGATATATCAGTATTTTTCCGAAATGCCGCTATATAATCTAGTTTTAAAAAATCATTCACCTGCTGACTGCTCACTTATTTTGCGTATAGATCGATTAGCTAGGCCTCTAAATTAAAATATTTAACTATAACAACGTTATCTAAACTTAATTATGTGTGTGTGTGTGTGTGTCATTAGTTACATTTATGTTGTCCATAATCCTATCCAGCGAGAACATGTTCAAGAAAACACAACCTGCTTAACCGAATAAAGAATAACACTAAATTATTTGTTTTAGAGTTTGTGCGGTACCTACTTGCGTGAACTTGGCAATCGTGGGTGTCTTGTCATGACCCTTTCGCTTCAGGTAAACCAAAATTCTACCACTAGCTGCCATTTCACCTAATAAACAAGAAATGAGTTATATCCCTTTCTATCGATATTCCGATAGAGTTATGTCCCTTCGTTGCTGAAAAGCATGCATGTTATGTTATTAAAGAAGAAAAGATGTGTTAAGTAGACCGCTAATTAATTCCTGAAAGACTGCACTGGAATTGAGTAAAAGATTGAAATTTGAAGACTTGGCATACAACTAGGGTTATTTTTAAACCTCGAGGACTGAAAAAACAAATGCAACATTACTTCTAAGACAAGTAAAAAAAGAGAGAATTTTTTTTTACCTTTATTTGTACAGTATAAAATTTTACACCAGAACAAAGCATTTTTTTAACTTTCAAATTCCACACATGAACGACGTCAATCACATTTTCTGCAATACATGTGTTATCTAAGTACCACCCTGGGACATTTCGGAACGTAAATTTAAACTATAATAAACTGTACTTCGCGGAGATCCGAAACGCACTGATATTTGATGATGGAAGAGAGAAACGATTTACTATGAATACATTCTGGATATATGATTTGATGTTTTAATACGCCCCTAGTCTTTAGTTTCTTTCATTATACCACTTTTTCACATGAATAAGACCTTTTCCTTTACGCCAATCCTTTCCATTTTAGACTGTACTCCCGTCATAAAAATATCGATATTGCAACGTAATAATAATTCAAACTCCAAAGCACTAGGGTAAGATATGAATAGAAGAAAGATTTATATGGAGAGTTCTGAAAAAGTACAAGGAGAAGAAGACTAGGTGTTCCGAAAGAGTAAGCGTCTTCTGTATTATTGACAACACCAGCCAATTTTCCCATAAATTTTTATCAACCTGCATTTTTTGAACCCTTGTGACACAAGCCCCATTGTTGAAATTAACACCAGCTATATTGTTTCAACACCAGTAGCAGAGATCTTAATGACGTTCATCTATCCAATATCACCATAAAGACACTTGTAATTCCACCTCGAGGTACTTTGTGTGAAGTTCGGCCAGAGATGCAGGATATCACTGAGAGGGATACGCTCAGCTTCCTGGACAGAGGTGGTGAAGAATTGTGGAAAGACATAAACCTTTTCCCGAGATTTGGAGTACATCTTTTCACGTGGGGATAAGGATCATGTGGAACACAATAATACATTGACAGACTATCGATATTTCAAACAACGTCATAAAAATATCCTACAGTCTACGTACAAAGAAGTTAGGACTCATGTACAGCAGCCATTATCCACAGATGTGATTCGGCCAAGTCATGGTCCCATGCCAGCAATAGTGTAAGTGAGAAAGAAGGATGGTTCTCCGCGGATGTGTACTGAACTTAGGCAGTTGAATCGTGGAACCATCAGACACTCCTACGCTGTGGCCTGAATAGATGAGATTCTTGAGTGTTTATCTGGGTCAGGTTTTTCCACGAAGCTTGATTTGAAGTCCGAATATTATTAGATCCTCATCTTTGAATTAACCCATATGTAGTTTGGACTGACAAACGCCACAACCAATTTTCAACGACCGACAGAGCAAAGTATAGTCGATCTAAGTTTAACCGTTTGCCTTGTATATAGCTATTGATGATCTTGTATTTTTTGCTAACGCATATGATGTCCACCCGGAGAGACTACGCAAGACATTGCAGCGTCTTAGGGAGAGTGACTTGAAGTAGTCCTCATAGAAGTATGACTTCTTTCGGGACATGGTGACATATGTCGGACATGTCGTTTCAGCAGGTGGTATCAAGTCTAGCCCCTCAAAGGTTGTGAAGGTTCATGAAAGGCCTGCACCGAATAATACCATTTCTTGGGATTTGTGGGGTATTATCTTAAGCTTGTCCGCAATTTCAGCCGGATCGCACGGTTGTTCAGTGACATATTCCCTCCTACCCGAAGTAAGAAGTCATGGAAAGCAACATACCTCAATGCAGTCTTGTGGATGTTGACAGAAGAACATATTTGATCATTCCTGAAGTTTAAGGAAATATTGTGCACTCCAGTGGTATTCGGTTATCCAGCCTACTCATTGCCCTTCGGATTCCACGTTGATGCTTCAAGGAACGGACTAGGAACCGTATTCTGTCAACATTAGGAAGTATGAGCGGAATTATCTGGCCCATCCATTGGAATTTCTGACACTTTGGTGGACCATTATGGATTCGTTTTACGACTACCTTTACGAGAGGACCTTTACCGTAGACAACCCACTGACATACATTAAAACGAAAGCAAAGCTTGATGTGACAAGTCATAGATGGTTTTTTGTTCTGTCAACATACAAGTACGACATCAAGTACCGTCCGGGTAGAAGTAACTCAAACGCAGATGCATTGTCAAGATTTCCAGGAATGTCTGCCAACACTTAAAGAAGAATACCCTAGACAATCTGCGTGATGCATTGCACTACCTGAGGAGTCCTTAGTTGATAGTTTCTATAGGTCAGCAGATGCTGCGAATATGTTGGATGATGACGTGCAAGACATTCAAGCTACGACGTCTCATATTTAGGGAAAACTGCAGTCTCAGGATCCATTCATTAGCCAGATTCTTCCCTTCATTCACCCAAGCAAGAATATATTTTCAAAGAACGTGGAGAATGTCATACTTACAGAGATCTGCGATAGCTAGACGCTGAAACGCGGAGTGCTTTATCGCTGTGTATAGCAACAAGATTATTTGGCGAATCAACGTGTGATTCCAGCATGTACTAGAGACAAAGTGATCACGTGACCGCTTCTGGTCTGTGGACTAAAGATGTGGACAGCTGGATTAAGTGTTCAAGGTGTTTATTACGAAAGACTCAACAACACAGCGTGTGCCGTAAGTTAACATCATAACAACACATCTCATTGAGTAAGTATGCAAGGACTACGTCACCCTGGAGACTTGTACAGGAGGATATTCCTACGTGTTAGTAGTGACTAACCGATTCATGCGGTACGCCCAAGCCATACCGATGGGCAATATGTCAGCTAGGACAGCACCATACGCGTTACTCGGCTTTTTCCAGCACTGTGGGATACCTTGCCGCCTTCCCTCTGATCAAGGAACTAACTTCTGTGGGGATGTTATTTGGCACCTATTTCAACTATTTTATATTAGTAAGTCAAGAACGTCACTATATCATTCCATTGGAAATGGAACCATTGAGCGGTTCAACGTTACAAATATGCTAGGGACACTGGACTCTGACTAGAAGAGGGGTTTGAAATGATACCTGGGACCACTGACCTTTGTCGTACAACTCCACTCTTCACGATTCGACAGGCTACTTGCAATTCCATCTGATGTTGGACGAGAGTCGCGGTTGCTTGCCGATCTGATTTTTGGATTTGAGGAGATTGAGGCTCCAGCCAAAGTGTCGGAGTAGTGAAATATCTAAGGAAGAGAATGCACTAGTCCTTTGAGTTGGAAGGCGACAGAGGACCAGTTGTAAAGGCTTGACACGCATACATAGAATTTGGTAATCGAGTTTTGGTAAAGATCTTGTCATTTTAGGGACGACCTAAGATATCATCGAACGGATGGGAGGCGGGGGTATATGTCGTCAAAGGACAGGCCAGCCCGTAAATCCCTGTGTACAAAGTGAGGAAGAAAGAAGGAAGCGGCAAGATTAGGACACTACAGAGGAACTTCTTGCTTCATATGGAGTCGCTACCGATTGGAAAGATTGTGGGTGTGATTCGTCCATGGCCAGCACCTTCGTCAAGGACAACGCCGAATCGGAGGCGTGAACCAGTTACATAGGAGGCAGCTGTAGATCACTGTCCTTCAAGTCATAGCGACGACGAATCTGGTGTGATGGAGAAGACATAGTTACCTGTGTCTTGAGGCCATCCCTACCGGAACAGAGTTCTTTGCTTGAAGAACGGTCAGTTAATGAATCTGATCGTGGGGAAGAGTCGAGAGAATAACACGAAGCTGAAGTCCCGCCTGTGAACGTAACGGTGTCGCCTGTCACCCCACTTCCATTCCAACAAGCGTATATTGTTTACATGTATATCTCTATTTGCCGAAGTTTTTGGATATGTCTTGATTTATAAATGCACTGTAATAAGTACTCCCACTGGTGTATAATGAGGTAATATTGATAACTGTTGTGAGTGTATCAGTTTGATGAAGATGTAGTCATCTTCTTCAGAAAGAAGGGCAGGGTTACAGTAATACGGATATAGATGCATTCAGTGTATCTTTAGAGGAGGAATATTTTGTATTGCAATGGTGATTTTTTTCTTATTCTATACATAAAATATAATTGGTTAGATGAAACTGTAACCTGTGGAAGTTCATACTGAATATAAATTTCTATGCCTTAATTAAACTCGACCAATTCTTTAAAAAAAAAAAGGCCAATTTAGAAGAAATATTTAAGAAAGTTGAGCGTAATATTACCAGAGTCAGACAAAAACCACGTGATATCGCTAGGGTTGTGTCTTTTGGTTGTGTTAAATCATTGGATAAGACAATGTGAGGAGATAGCTACAAATTTATCACACATACTATATGTGCACCTATACTTATATATTAGAACCAGACACAACTGTAAAAGGAAGGAGTGATGTAAAACACCGTCATCGCTAGCTTCCTAGCCGGATACTCCACCCCTCTATTAAAGGGAATTTCCCACTATCCAAGGCTAGTTGGGCGTACTCTCAACTTCTACATAATAAATATACGTGTGTGTAGCACTCAACCTACGGAAAATAAGATATAACCTTTACCTGTACCTACCCATGACTATACATTCTTGTCCCGCTCTTTCTACCATTGACCCGGGATTATAAGTCACTGCATTAATCATAGTTCTCCTCAGTTTTCTCTCTCGTGTTTAAAATGTTTGATTTTTAAATATTGCAAAATATTTTCAAAATCAGTTTTTCTTAGTTTTACTTACGTTAGGAGTAAACATGTCATAGTGCTATGTAGAATGATATATTCTTTTGAACTATGACGTATATTGTTTTAAAGCCAAAGAAAGATGGAAAGAAATTAACCAGTAAAAATATTGTTTTTCTTTATAAATATATGGATCATAACTCTGGTGCTAAGTTTGATGATAAACTGATAGTATTTGTGGGACTTCAAGTTACATCTGAATCAGATTATATTAAGGAAAGTTAGAGCACAAAAACTGACCGACCAATGAAATGAAAGGATACCTAATTAGTATGCATATATATTAACAGATGATGCTGATTGCTGAACTCAGTTTCATGTGCCCTAATATGCATCTGCTGACCAAGTTTCATCTAAATCGGATTATATTTAGGGAAGTTAGAGCACGGAAATGAACCGACCAATGAAATCAAAGGATACCTCATTCGTTTGCATAACTACTAACAGATGACACTAATAGTCAATCTCAGTCTTAATGACCCAAGATGCATCTGCTGACCAAGTTTTGGATGATATTTGGGGAAGTTAGAACACGGAAACGAAAGTGTGACAGACAGACGGACGTCCGGACGGAAGAACCCAAATTGATATCCACCGGTTCGGTGAAAGCGGTGGATAATAAAATTAAAAAGAATCCTCATCTTGAGCCAACCAAACTAACGAGATAGGCCTAACCTATTTCACGTGCTGGCATTATGACGTCATTTGTGTAAATGACGTAAGCACTCGATATTCCAAAATTGATCTTGTAATCTCAGTTTGTGTGATATCGAAAGGTTTTTTTCTCGTGTCAGACTGCATGAGCTATACTTTTCATGATTCATGTGTAAGGAATTTTTATCATATTGTTATTTATCCAAGCTGTCGCCGTCATTGTTCCTTATCGAACACACCTCAGCTGTAAACTCAAATCTTGCCGCTAGAGGACTTGATCATGTGACCTATAACAACAAAAACATGGAGAGCAGATGATGCTGCAGTGTGTGTTCGGACCGTTGTCTGCTTGAGGTTAGCAACACTTTCGTAAGCATAGCATCCATGGAAACCGTAGATAACGGATAACAAGTATAAATGGAGTCTACCAACGATACAAATGAGAATGCTGCAGAAAACAAGGAGAAACAATCCGGTTCTCCGGAAAAAATCCGTAAGTTGTACATCCATGTTTTCTGTTTGTTGACATTATGAGCGAAGCTCCACTGCAGCTGGACGACTCGCTGTGTATTGCATTGTAATTTTACAATTTATAGTCATAATATGTCCTTACTTGGCCGAGGTAGGATATGATGCACGACTGACCAGTGATGATAAGTAATATAGAAACTAGTTACTGGACAGACAGATGTTCTGTTCAGACTGACCTCTTACTGTATTAGATTAGTGAACGTTAACTGCTGGATTACGCACAGGTGTTTAAAAATCTGACTGTTAACGGAGTAAATATATATATATCTTATGAAGATAAGAAAATCTACATATTTTATAAATGGTATAACACTATATTTCTCAAGTTACACTCTAATTTCAAACACCTGTGGGTTGCCTGTAATTCAGTGCTACTGTAATTCACCTCACATACTTTAGACCCGTCACATTATTCTTATTCTGTAGAGCTATGCCCAATCTTCATATCAAATTGCAAATAAAACAAAATTTAGCTTTTACGAAAAACTTCATGGATGGAAAAAGCACAATCCTTACTGTATGTTTTAGGCCTGCTGTTTATCTGCCTTCATCGAAAACTACATGTCATGTCTGTATATTCTCATATTTACATAGGTCATACTGGGTTCCTACTGGTTCTTCTTGTCCCACCAAACAGCACAATACTGAAAATTGTTTGGATCACTACAATTGTCCTGCAATAAGATAAAGGGGACCAAAGGTTTACACTTTAGTTTCAATTTGAAGTAGGATATCACAGCATTCATAGTCAGTGCTTCTGGATCTGCAATGGATGCAGATGGACTTTGACCAGCCATGGACATATTGTCTGATAAATACAGTGATATATCAGAAAAGAAAAAAAGAAAATGTTTCATTAATATTGTGTCATTCTCCTTACAAATTTTTCATTAATTTTGATTATTTTTAGGCTAAAATAACGCAGCTATGGTTCAGCCTGCTGTTGTAGCCTTTGGAACTAGCACTTACTACTAAACTTAGCTTTCTGATGGGTGGGAATATTCCAATAGATAATCAGTGACCTCTAGTGGCAGTTGTATGCTATTGACAATGCTGCTATTTTTAAAACAGTGTCATGTATTTATATTCTGGCTATGGGACAATCAAGTATTAAACTGAACTTACCAAAATTGACAGACTAGGTGTAAATGGAAATAATTAGAGTGAGATTTCCGTCAATCAGACAGGACAATATGACGGAATGCACAGAATTATGGGGTCATTAACAGATGTATTCTTAGCGGTCTATCTAAAAGTAGGCTATAACTGATAATCAACGGCAGTAAGATTTGTAATGACTCCATAGAAAATATATTTAACATAATCAAGATAGTTAGCGACATCATAGATATGATCACATTGCACCTTTTCACGAAGTTTTATGTTGATGTTTGTAAAATTGATTGAGTAATGAAGAGTTTAATTTTCCTTGATCACACTCGAGGGAAGCATCTTCAATTATAGAAGTTAAAATACTAAATAAAGTAAGTGAAATCAAAAGATATTTACTTTATATGATAATAATACATTAATACATGAAGTTTTAGTTTCATACATGAGGATTTTACTCTCTGTATAATGAAGGCTTTGTATGTGTGTGTATGTTTTGTACAAAAACCACGGGTAATCATGGTATGTTTTCAGTGGCTATTGCCCATAATACTCCAAGAAGTAAGCAACACCAACAGATGAATTATTAATGTGATTATAATACACCCTTTCATGTGAATGTTCATAAAATTAGTTGAGTTGTTGAGAGAAATTTTCCTCTATTGCCGACAGTACACGTCTGTAACTATGTGTATCACACTTGAGAATGGTGTCATCATGTCATATACTGATTTGATTAGGAATAAAATCAATTAAAAGAAAGAATTACTCCAATGATAATTTTATGACTGTATATATAACATATAAGCTTCACAAAATATTATGCACAACATATAAGCTTCACAAAATATTATGCACAAACCAGGTTATTACAATCTGTGTGAGTGAAGTTTTCTTGTTTAAGTTCCATTGTAACATTGTGCATGTGCCAGCTGACACAAACTGAGGCCCCAAATCTGTATTGCAAGGGATCAGAATGTACTTTGTTAAAGAGTAACAATCTTTTACCACACATTTTGATAGGATAATTGTGTGAAGACTATCCTTATTATGATGAATAAGTAATTATACAATCATAAGACACACAGATATATGCTTCGTAAATGCATGAAAATAAGACTGCCTTTGATAAATATTAAATCTGTAATCATAAGATCCAATGCAGACTCCGCATATTAACATGTCAAGACTGACTTCCACCAATACAAAAGCAGACAGGTGCACATGACTTCTTCATTGTGATATCCAGCATGAAAGAAAATACAATGAATCCTGTCATTTCTTAGAAAAATTTGAGTCAGTATTAAAGAGTTTGATTGTTTTTCATGTGATGGATTATACCTCACATATAAAGTTACAAATATATGTTATTAACATATTTAGCCTGTCAGTAATTTCAGAACAATTGAATTTTAATTTTTGTTCACTTTACATAATGTGTTTAAATTTTTCATTGATTTCCTTTATCAATTGGGGATACACCACATGGTTATTTTGTTAATTATAATAACCATTTTTCTTACATTCTTATTCTTCTTATGATAAGCTAACTAATTTGAAACATTCACTTGTGAAATTCTGAAGGATATAATGTATATGATAATAACACAATGCATATGAATAATGTTGTCATTGGAAAGCATCCAATACAGTAATTCTTGAACATTAAGTCATTGCATTTTATGGATTCCTCCAATTTTCAATATGTTTTAAAAATGTCACTTGACACTCATATTAAAATGTTCAATTAAAACCTGTGCTTGGTAACATAATTATATAATAATTTATGTGTAAATATTTGTGGTTCTTTCATGTATGAAATAATGTAGAAATATGCTAAAAGGAAAATTTTAACTTACTTACATAAAAATCATAAAATTTAAAAGTGTAAATAGCCTAAAAATATTGGAATGAAATAAGTGACAATCGTTTGCTGCCATTTCTTTTTTATATTTAAACAAAGGAACTTTCCAGACATAGCACTTAACCCTATAAATTACAACTGATAGTCCGTACAGTCGTCAAGGTGAGGTATGGGATTTAACGCAGAAGCTCCACACTGAATTGATGTTTGATCTGTATGCATTTCCCTAGAGAAGACCATACATTACTTTCTTTTTAACAATGAACTTCTTTCCTGGTAAGATATGGTGCACTCTTCAATAGAAGTCATAAGGTAGACATTGTGTGCTGAGATACAGAGATCCCATATTCTGTAACAAGACGCCGAAATCCCATTGTGTACCTGGATTCTGAGATCCCATTGTGTATTGGGACTCTGATCATGAGATCCCATTGTATACTAAGATGCAGAGATCCAATGGTGAACAGGGATGCTGAGATCTCCTTCAGTACTGGGTATTGAAGTATCATTGTGTTTTGGAATGTTGAGGTCCCATTGTGTTCTGTGATACTGATGTCCCATTGTGTACCAAGATGCGGAGATTCTTTTGTGTACCAGGACACAGAGATTCCATGCATGGTGCACAGGGACACTGAGATCCCATAGTGTACTGGGACACTGAGATCCCATGGTGTACTGGGACACTGAGATCCCATGGTGTACTGGGACACTGAGATCCCATAGTGTACCAAGACACTGGTTTCCTGTTGTGTACCGGACACTTGGATCCCAATGTGTTCAGGGATGCTGAGATCCCATTGTTTACCGGGTAATGAAGTATCATTGTGAAATCAGATTTTGAGGTCCAATTGTGTATTGGGATGTTGAGGTCCTACTATGTACTGGAGCATTGAAGACGATGGATTCTGGTGTGTTGCAGTCTCATGGTGTCTTGGGGTGTTGAGGTCCCTTAATGGTCTAGAGTGGTCCCATAGTGTCCTTTAGTGGTGTGGTGCCATGGTGTTCTGGAGAGTTCTTGTCCCGTTATGGTATGAAGTATTGTGGTCCCAAATTGTCCTTGAGTGTTATGGTACTGTGGTGTTCTAGGATGTTGTGGTCCTATGGTATTCTAGGGTGTTAAGACCAGCTTTTACTTGAATGTTTATAGGTCCCAAGTCCAAGCTTACTGATTTGGGCAGTCCAGTCATGATCAACTCACTGTTGATCTCCTTTATATGACTATACATACAGTACAACCTCGATAAGTTGAACTCCTTGGGACTGTGTCAGTAGTTTGAGGAATACAGGGTTTTCAAGTAATGGTTGGTCATTGATCATCAAGTACTGACCGTCCATGTCCATGAATGATGTATTCAGTACATAACTCTTTGACCAGTCCACTTTAAGATTTTCATTGTCAGGTTCTGATTGACTTTGTTCTTCAATTTGTATAAAATTTTAATGCAGGGAAATGTATCAAGATGATAAAACACAGCACCAGCCTATATTTGGCAGTGTCTGTAGAAAATAAGAGGTGGAAAGATTTATGGCACTTAATATAAATTGTTGAATAATCAATACATTCAGTCATCAAATCACATGGAGAAACTTAGAAACTATGAGACAGAATGTAATGTATCTGCCATGCATTCATCTATGGTAAGTTAAACATACTTGAGTGCATGTATAAAATGTACATACGATTAATGTGTTATTAACTTCTGCCAATTAAACAATTGATAAACTATTAGATGGAACTCAGAGAATTATCCTTATTCAGACATGCCTTCTCTATGCAGCATCCTGTAAATTTGTTTACAAACTTTCCATTTGAACAAGGTTGATTTATATGTCAAATAAAAACAAAACAGAAATGTCCCGATAACACAATCTGATTATGTAACAGATGGCAGTACAAGTATGTAATCATTTCACCATTAATTCTTTAATTATCTGCTGTCCTGGCAGACACCAGTATAAACACATGGGAGTGATGGGAGCTGTTACCC